TACTTCACGCTTACTAGAAGCAGGCTGGGGCAGCATGCAGATGAACTACCCTGGGGTAGCTTCCTCCTTGTTTGTAGAAGATGATTAACCTTACCACTTCTGCTTTTTTCCTAATGTTTGTGCTACCAGCTGAAGAAATCAGGCACACCCTGAAGTCTTTCAGGAGTCAAAAACTGCTGCTTCTCCACGTGCTGTGCCCCGCAACAACAGCAGACAAATCACAGCTCCCAGCTCCCCAGGCTGGTGTCTTGATTTGCGGGTTGCTCAGTGGATCTCAACTTTAAATAGATTATTCAGTGTCCACGACAGTCCTGGAAAGGAGAGGAAAACCCATCTGGACACTCCAGAGAGGAGCTACAACGAAATCTCTATGAAAGGCCAGCAAATTCCAGCGCAGCTGCTGGAGGTCAACAGGACACAAGAGAGTTCGAAGCAGCAGCTTTCCTTAGTTCCATCAATCACCACCTCAGCCATCTTCCATCACAAACACAGGATTTTTGGTTACATCATCAAGTCTATTTTCCTGTTTGAAAGGGATTCCAGCCACACAGAGATGGCCAACTTGTAAGGAGAAAAAATAAAATAAAATAAAATAATAAAAAATACAATAAACCTACACCAACTTCTAGACACTCCCTGTTCCAACATCTTCACAGATCTGTTTTTCCCCTCTCCAGCTTCGCGTTTGGTTTTGTTTTCTGTCCACTAGATAGCTGAAATAGTAGTTGAGACATATTCTGGCTGGCTATCTTTATAAATATTTAAAAACTCTTGTTAGATGATGATCATGTAAGCTTGAACAGACAGATCAGGCCAAAAAAAAAAAAGTACCTAGCCAAATGTTTTCTGTAGCCCAAAAAAATAATGCTAGGGCCACTAGCAAGCATCTGGCTTATTTGCTTTGCTGCTACTGCCCCAAGAAGTACAAATAAAGAAGTACAAACACAAATCACAGATGCAGCCTCTGTGATTGTTCTCCCTTTCCTACTTCTTATACATTTATTTTATTCCTACCAAATAAACAAACAAATAAATAAATGAGCAAGCAGGCCGGTAGTCTGCCACTTCTAGCAACTCATTGCTTGGTTCCCTGCAAATACATTATTATCACATGTAGAACTTGCATTAAAAAATGCACAAGATAATTTATGTTCAAATGGGAACAGGGAGAAGAAATAAAAGAAAAAGGTTCCCAAAATAAATACAGGAATTCTTTAGCACGTACGCTTCGTTTTCTGTTGTTTCAGCATTGTTTGTGCTTGTTTCAACTCATTTTCAGATCTGGTTAGGACCCAGGCATGGTCTAACACAAATACAGAAATTAAAAAGGAAAAAAAAAAGCAACCTAGGAATTATAACAGTCCAGAAATCTCCAGATTTCATATTGTAAGTGATAAAAAAATGCACAGCTAATTAGAGATGTCTTAATGCCAGAAGTCAGCACTCTGTGAGAGGTGCCATGCCAGCTGAGAACCCGGCTGTGCTGACGGATGCACGCTCTCACAGAGGGCGAGCAGGAAGGCAGGAGACTGCCTCTCACAGATACCTGCCTCCAGATGTTGTGGTTCCAGCTCCCAGCCCTGCTGCGTGCCAAAGTCTGTGCTCGCACTGCCTTTTGTGCAAACACTGCGCGTTGCCAACTCCTGCCTTGCACCTCGTGGTATGTAAGACTGAGGCAAGAGGGTGACCTCTCCGAGGAATGAAATCTAAACTGCGCCCTTCTCCCTTCATACACATCACCAATCATTCTTAAGTAAAAATAAAGGGAAATTTTTATGCATGTTATAATCAGATCTAAATAATTCACACAGATTAGAGAATAGTTCATTGACACACAGACGAGAAATTCCTGGACACCTTTCACCTAGTATAAAGCAAATATGTTCAAGAGAAGCTTACGCTAACCGAATGCCCATTGAATTACTCTTGCTTTTAATAATTGAAAGTTTCAGTTTCTATACAAATATCCAATATAAACAATCCCAGAATAGTTTAGTAGCACGGTGTGCTGCAATGCAGTTCCAGTTAACTCTACACACGCCACGTGGGCGATCAGAAAGCATTCCGTTCACATGTACTTTACTTACTTTACTTTCTTTTACCAGAGACATCATGGTGCCAGTTCCAAGGCTGCAGGTCATCTGAAAATCTTGTCATCGGTTACACGAACTGGACTCGACTCTCCCTCCAAAATCCTCTAACAGGTTTCTCGCTCTGATAAGCTGGCTTCCCTACCAGACTTCCAGCACCACTCCTATATTCACTGGCTCAATGGCACAGATTATCCACACGCATAATGTATTTGTCAGGAGGCAAAATTCTGCGCCAGCAGAATAATTTTATCCACTAAACATGTTTGCCAAGGGCTGCCACATCCTGGACTGCTTCCCATAAGCTTAAAATAGCAGAACAGTCCTCCACGAAGAGGACTTCAGAGTCCTCCATGAAGCATCACAAACATCTCACCTTTGACACACACAAGATGTGGCCACGCAGCTCTGTAGGAAAGGACTACCTGGGGATTGCTGCCACTGGCCCCTGTAAGCCAAGGAGCTTCAGATCCCCAGCCCCAACCATCCCAGCCACTTCCCTGGCTTCTCTGATTTGACAGAAATAGACAGCTGAGTAGAAAACCTATATATCTCTTCCTTTGTTTTACCTCCAGCCTTCAAAGAATCCTATCACTTCCGATTAGAAAACCGAGAAGCATCTTACAATAAAGCCAACTAAGGGAACTGCAAAATCTGCTGCAGAATTTAGGGGGTGAAATTCCCACATTTCTGCTTTGTTTGGATGTCATTCCCTCTTTGCAATGGTTCGCTGGTTTTAAATAACACCATATTCTCTGCTAATATGTTTGAATCAAAACATTTTGTGCCTGAATGCTGTCATGCCTCCATGCAGGTTTGCGAATGATTTCCTACGCAGAGGAAATGGCAACACTGCCACAAGGTTTCAAATCAGATTTACCTCCAGTTGGCCACTGCTTACAAATTACATCTTCCACAGTTAGCCAACTCGGGGAATTTTTCTTTCGATGAACTCTGAGTTCACACGGACGTTATCACAAGAATTTCGTATTTTTGTAAGAGGTTACAGAGCGAAAAACATCACTTTGTTGGAAGTTTCTGTGAAGGTCTAAGCAGAACAGCAGTCATGGCTATCACATCCATGGAGCCAGCACTCAGTAACACCTCTGTGAGGGTAAGGAAGTGAATATGGGAGGAGTGAACTCTGAAGTAACTGTTTGTATATCCCACGTTCAGGGCCTTCCAAAGGGTGTTGCACAACCAACATTCACACCACGTTAATACAGTCCAGTATTTTAACTGCAGGGCAAGCAGTCATGCTGCTAGGGGAAAAAAAAGAACAGAAAGATAAGAGTAGTTCCTTGCTAATATGCATTTCTCCTCACTGTCTAAATCCAGTCCTGATGCAGACCACCAAGTTAAGGCTCAGTGATTACACTGGCACGCTCGGGTATTACACTGGCCAGGAACAGCCAGACATGCAAGAATTTCTTTTTGCTTTATCTAATTTATTAAACATCCAACAGGTCAAAAAATTAACCTTGTCACATTTCTGCAGTTCCCAGTTGTTGCAGAGATATGAACACAAACCGACCTCTCAGTCTACTCTGGGAGCAGTTTCGTGCTATCAAGCTCAACCCGTTACTCACTGCTGGGGGTAGAGGAGCTGACACACAAACCTCAGAGCCCTGCAGGAGGTCTTCCCACTCTCCTCTTCTGTCCTGTTTCCAGGTCTCTCAAAACTAAGCGAGCTTCAAGCATTCCAACTCATTTTGAAGTTAAAAATTCCAATACAAGTGCTAAATGCACAAAGACACTGCGCTGTATTTTACTGCCTGATAGCAAGGAAGCAGTATTTGCAATAAATGCAAATACTTCACAAGTAATTTCACCATTATCAAATGTACTAGCGTTATTAAAATACAAACACCAACATTTTACAAGTTTACCAGAGATGGAAACAAAGTCTTCCTCCAGATTTATCCCATCCTATTCCTTTAGTTTGACAGGGCTTTTAAAGACAAATGGAGACACTGCTGACTGGGAATCTACCGAAAGATCCTCCCCTTTTGGGAAAGTGAACAGTTTCATACAAAAGATCCTTAGGTTCCAAAGACGGGTTAAATAGACAGATACATGCAACAAATCATTATCAACGTAGTAATTGCAACATTAACCCTTTTTAATCTCCTCTATTCTGTGGATTTCTTTATGAAATGAATGGGCAGTAATGCAGCATTTTTTTTCCCTGCTCCCTAGTTCTCATGTCCCACTGACACAGTTCAAATGAGAGACTTCTGAGTACCACTTCAACGAACCCAGCAGACTTCCTAGCTTAAAAATAACAATAACTTGTTAAAAGAATATTTGGCAGATCCTCTGTCAACTTGGAAACAAAGACAACAATGGCTCTTCAGCATCTCATTTTAACAGACACTGGAATTAGAAAAGCCCAACATTTGATTTATATACTCATGAGTCTAGCTGTTCTCTAGTGACAGGTATGCATAAATAAAAGTGGAAATAAATCTGCATAGTTTGAAAGTTTACGACAAAATACACAAGACAAAACAAACAAAAAATGAATTATAAGGACAGAAATAGCCTTTTCTGAGTTTTTTTTCTAAAAGGATTCAAAACACAGGTCTTGAATCCCCTCAAGTATAAGTGGAGCAAGCTGCTACACTCTGCATTGGTTAACAAAATGCCAAAGCCAAGAGAAATGAGAAGTACAAGATGCAGCTCTTGTTGCCAGAATGATTTCAAAAGAGGAACCATTACACAGATTAATCTGCCCCTGTGAAGGAGAAACATAAAGGACAGAAGACAGGTTTCAGGCTCAAGGCTTAAAACACAACACAGCCTACACTAAAAATTCAAACAAAAATCACCTGGCAGCAAACTCACTGCTGATTGCAATCAGGAGCAAGTGTATGGGGTAAGGAAAAGAGGAATTCTCAAGCATCTTACCTCAGGGGACCATAATTCAACATTATGAAAGCCAGTATCACCATCACACACAGGGTTCTTCTCTTAGGAGATGATACTTTGAGCTTCTGGTTCTAGGCAGGAAAAAACAGAGAATACGTGAAATAAAAAATGGCACCGACAGTTATGACAGAAGCTAAATGAACCAGATTATGCTTATTTTTTAGATTTATATTTGTCTGTTTATGTATGAATACACTCTGGGACTACTTGAAAATAAAACTATTTCTTTTGTATACTGTATTCCAATGTGATCCAATCTATCTTTTCAGTAAAATCTCCAGAAGCACCATGAAATAAGGAATTAAAAGCTGACTACATGATTCAGCAGCCCACCTGACCAAGAGTTTGTGGAGGTCCTGCTCTGAGCGGGAGGCTGGGCTAGAAACTCCCAAAGGTCTTCCAGTCAACACCTGCATGCGTCCACTCAAGTGCCTTCCACCCGAGCAACTGTTTATATACAGCCAGATCTTCATCACGGCCTCTTACCTCTAATACCACTTCATCCAGCTGCCTCTTCAGTGTGCTGTTTTCCTTCTTGAGTTTCTCGTTCTCCAGTAAGGCTGCCTCCAGCCTGGCCTCTAGTCCCAACATGTATTCCTTTTTTTTCTTCCGTGACTGAAAGGCTGACTCCCGGTTTTTGATCATGCGCTGCTGCCTTCTCAAGACATTGACCTAGACAGGCAATACCAAGGGCTGTTAATAACCTGCAAGTTAAAAGTGCCTCTGCTTCATGCATAATTTCTGCTGCTCTACTTCATCAGAAGTCTATGCAGATTGCTTCCCCTCCTCTGCTTCTAACGAGCCAACGTGCTCAGCACAGAGGCAACTGGCTGTCGTGGTTCACCTCCAAGAGTTACAGCTCGTGGATAATTTTAAAAATCAGGCCCTGCTCTGTTTTCAGCTGCACTCTCAACCTTCTCCTACGTGCAGGGGACACAAAAGGTATACTCGAACAACAATTTGATTCGATCAGTCAAATCACAAAGAAAGCAAACACACAGCTAATCTACAGGTCTGCGAGACAACACGGATGCCTTTCGCCTTCATTTTATCATACAGCATTTTACAGGCTACAATCAGATCTCTGTTAAGAAAGTCCTACAGTTTTTTAGTCTCTCCTGCACAGAAACCATTTCCACACTGACTACGCCTGTTTCTGTACCTTTTCCAGCTCTGCTGTATGGTTTTTGGGGATTTTGAATGCTGCTGCTGATCTCAGGGTGCACATTCGATGTGTATCAAGCATCTGCATGGCAGTTTAACTGCATCCTCTGGGTGAGCATCTACATGAGCATTTTAATTCAGATCATACGTGTGGTTTTGATGCAAATTTCCTGATTGTCCCGCTTCATATGCTTGGGTTCACAGAAGTTTCTGATGAGAGCGCACAAAGCAGACTCCTGGATGAAGCTACAGCAGCAAACAGGCTGCAGGAGGGCACACGATGCACTGCAACCACTAGCAGGCAGGCAGTCTGCGAGACCAGACAGGGACAATTCAAAGCAACTCCCCCCATCCCCCAACAGTCTCGCCGACTCTGATTTCTTTCCCAAGCAGGAGCAGTCTATCATCATTTACCACTTACTCATTTTGTGGTTTGCACTGAGTGGGACGCCCCAGACTGAAAGCATCTTGCTGCTGACAAGGACAACGATGATCGATACGGCTGAGCTACACAAAACGACTTGGAACTCGAAGCTCAAAGACTACTCTGTTGATTTCCTTTTCACACAGATTAGCGATGGCAACCGTGCTTTTTGTTTGATTAAAACCAGAAGAATTCCATCACATCATTAAGCCGCAACAGGATGTGATTTAATTATGTTTACTTTGAAAGACAACTGAACGCTGTATCTTCCACAGACCTGAATATCCTCCAGTAGCTACCAACACACACACTGGAGGAGCCTTTATCTATTAGAGCATGAAAGCTGAAGAAAAAAAGCTGATATCTATTTTAAAAGTATTAGTGTAGGGAAAAAAATAAACAGATAAGTCACAGAACAGTAGCATTAAAAAAATCAGATACTGTGCCCCAGTTCAAGTTTGGCTGCCTAAAGAATCTTAAGCACAGCTTTGCAGCTCCCTCCCTGTCTATACTTGCATATAGACAATATGTTGCTCCAGAGTTTTGGCATCTGCGAGGAAAATGGGCCACAGGCTGTTTGAAGAAGTCATCCTTCTTCATGATATTGTAGTCTGGTGACAAAGACTAAGAAAACACGTTACAGTGCATTAGCATTTTGGGCCGTCTCCATGTTGACCTAACTGCTTTCTGTAAAGATCATTTATTACAAGTCTAGTCTGCTGCCACCAAAAGCCTGTGAAAGTGAAGCTGTTTGTACTTACTCCAGTTTTTCTCTTCAGCAGAGAGTGAAAAAGGAAGGGATTTTAATATATTCTCATTAGCTCTAAGCTTTGCTCTGAACTTTTTAAGTACTCCAACACTTAACATAAGCAAACTTCTGCAGACACATAAAAGCATTGGAGGGGAAAAAGAAAGATTCGGGCTAACCGAGGACTGGAAGGTACAGAACACACCAGTTTGGTGCCAGCATCACTTCAACCATCCAGAGATGCAAAAACAAGGCATGTGTTCATGCAGCAGCTTTGGCTTCTCTGTGTGATACTCCAAACAAGTACCGTAACATTCCTCTCTATTTACAGAGGTTTTGCATCTTGAAGCAAAACAGAGAAGAACAATTTGTTTACATCCATTTGTTTGCAGACTTGTTCAGGTTTATTCACGACTGGATATATTTTGATTCTGCGCCTGGAAAATCTGGCAGACCTATGTGCTCTCCGAAGAAATCACGGAGCTAAAGCACTGGTGTGCTGTTTGTACACTAACTTACACCCCAAGGTACCTCTGCGGCTGTTTCAGAACCCACCAGCTCTGTTTCAGGTGGTGCTTATCCAGGCTGCCCTCCTTTACTCAGCCTTCTCCAAACGCCAGCACGAACAGCAGCCCTACCCTGCCCAGCTCGAGGTCCCCGTGCAATAACTGCATTTCAGTCTCTGCCAGACCGATTTCACTTTGACTCATTTCTCAAGCTTCCTCGACTGAACACCAACTATTCGTGTCCCTGAGTTACTGTGGGTTAGGTGACAAACCCGAACATAGTTTCAGGTCCTCAGTCAACCCTTGAGCACTTGCCTGGCTTTTCAAGAATAATAAGCCAGAACTGCACACCTGATCCTGCCTTAATCTGACGCAGGAAGTGGAAAGAGTTGTGTGAGTGAAACAGCAGCACCGCTTACCCTTGGAAGCAGTACAGAGCCAGGCACTGCATAGCTGGCTTGGCATCAAGATAAACATGCTGCTTGCTGAGCAGTTTGATAATCAGAAGAAAGAGAGGGAAGCAGTTTATGACAGACAGCTTGCACAACACCGCCTTGCACATGCGCTGCACGCAGATGAAAGGTAGCAAACGCCTCTGCTAACTTTTTTTGCAGCCTCCCCCTTTGTAGGTTGTTTTGTATGGATTTACCGCTCAAGATAGTAACTTCTGGTTCTTGGGAAACAGAAAAAAATGACATTAAAACCAAACATTAACCAGTGATGCAATCTTGCTTCCCAGCTTCAAAAATTACACAATTACACCAAAAAAAAAAAAAAGATGTAAATATGGAGAGGGGAAATACTCATTGCAAAACCTCGTTTTAAACAGTACTAGCTAGACTCAGCTTGTCCCAAATCTTCAGTCTTTACCAAGGGTCACACATTTTACAAATAAACACTGCTACCTCGAAATAGTCTTCCAAAGAAAACTCAGTTCTTAGGAAAATTTAACCTGCATTCAAATGCCAGCTGCACGGCACAAGGTGATATATTCTTGCCACAAGCCGGCAAGAGTATCTCACACAGGTCACGGGGTAAAAGTTAATTTAATGACTAAAATTAACAGCTCTCGACAGGGTTTTGTGTACACACACTGAGAAAGTCAGCACAGAGCTGCAAGCCCAAACCACTTCAACTTTCCATCAGATGGCTTCTTACCTCAGCTTATGGAAGGTGCTGTCTTTGAAGATGCACCTTAAATGTGGGAATAAAAAAACTACTAAAGTATTTCTCTGTTCTTATGAAAAATCTGTTTTTGCCTCTATCTCAACAGAACAGAATTTAAGAGTTTATTTCATCTGACAATTACCTACAGAAAATAGGATCCTTCAACTGAAATCTATACTTACAGTCAGTAATTTTGCATAAACTAGTTTATTTTTCTTAGCAATTAAAATTGGGAGACAGGATGAAATCGTTTCTCACTAGATGGAAACACGAGGGGTCCCTATAAGCACACGACTAACCCGGATTCCCTCACAGACCCGTTTGTACCTTCCTATCCTTTAATTCCAACAGAAACAGCAATCTGCTTTTTTAGTTAAGAGCTTCTGTCCTTCACTGGAAGAGTGGCTTGCGTAGGCAGCACCTCCAGTTTCGTGGTGAAAAGCTCTTCACCAGTCTCCTGCTGAAGAGTGGCTGCGCTGAAAACCCTGCACTTCCCTGCTGTTGGCAAGCTCCTAAATCGGGACAAGCACCAAGCAGGGCCCTCACAAGGTCAGGCTGCTATCAACTGATCTTAGCCTAATCCATCTGAAGGGCTGAGTGTTAAGCTAACACTTTATCCCTCTTAAGCTTGAAAGAAAGTCCTGCAGTGTTTCTTTTTACCCTGCAACATCTGCTCAGACTAGCAAACAAAAACATGTGTTGGAGAGCTCAAATGACAGCCACATCTGTGCAGCTCTGAACACCCCATATGGCGTCTGTGGCAGTCGCAAGATGTTTTAACTCCACTGCTGCTGCCTGGATCCTGAAACATTTCTTCTTTTTCAAAGTGCTATTTCACAATACGTACCAAAGAGCAGTTGCAATTGTTTTTTTCATGCTTCAGTAAACACAGGTAAGATGTCCAGTGTTTAGGCCGATATAAAGTCCTAAAACTGCCTCTTCAGGTGGAAATATCCATACGACTATCATTTAAAACACAGCTACTTGTTACCTCAGTTACACAGTTGACTATTGACTGTCACAGATGCGTATAAGCAGTGTGATGACAATAAAGAGCTTTTGTCAATTAAACCTCCAATTTGGACAATGGCAAGGTGCCACGCTAGTTTTGATTACAGGGAGTAACAAATCTAATGGCTGCTGACAGATTTCTTCAGCTTGGCTTCGGATGGCTGCCTATTATCATTTACAAATGTAGTCCTCTTAACTGTCTGTCTGCTGACAGACTTTTTTTGCTTTTCGCAAATTCAAGATTAGGTTTCCACTGCAGTGTGGTTTCTGAATTATTTGCAGCAAATAATTATTTTTTTTTTCATTTAAAAATGCAGCCCAGTCACAAACATGAAGAATTAATAAAACTTATTATTAAGCATGACTGGCAATTCTTGGATGTTAGGAAACCCATATAAAAACACCCTTCCAAAGAAGGGAGAAGACATGCTTTTGAGAAACAATGTACTGTACTGCAATTGATGAAGTCAAGGTGGCAGTTATATGAAAAAAATTAGGCAAGAGTGCAAGAGGAACATCAAGCAAACTGCATGATAAGCAGTTGCTGCAACCCAGACCACCACTTTGTTAAGTAAAGCTGTAACAACAACAGCTTTGGTCAAATTTATGTTAAGTTCTTTGCTGAGTCAGAGTCCATCAGAGAGGCTCGCTGACATGTGGACTAGCACTCTGAAGGGCAGGTATGAAGAGGTATTTGAAGCACTATCACAAAGATGGCAAAATGAAACGACACAGTGGATGGAGACTTACCATCTCCTCTCAGTTAAAGGGGAGATGTCAGTGTTAGAAAAGATTTGGTAATAGTGCCTGAAAAATGATCTGGCAAGTTTTAATTGAGCCTGCAGGGCAATTTGGAAATGTTAATGCTTTTCTCTTGCATAGTTAAGCAAACCTGATTTTCTTTTGGTCCAGCACTGCTTTGGTCCAACACAGCCAAAGAGTCTGTTAATGCACAGTGCCATTTCTCCCAGACAGGCATGCTTTCCAGCAAGAATACTGGAAAGTTCAACTGTTCAAGAAGAAACCTCTAGAAGTTCTGTTTCACAAGAAAAGATGAATTCTGCTTTTCCAGCAGGTTTGGATCAACAGCCTTACTGTTTTCCGTAACTCAAAGTTTCAAAGTTTGAAGAGAATGACTTTACCATTAACAGACAGGAAGAACAGAAAATATCTTAAGAACCTGAGCCCTCTGTATCATGAAACTCGGAAGAGCACTTGTTTCTGCAGATAAGAACAGTACTTGAGAGCAGAAATTGGCCATTTGGGACTGAAATACTTCTGTGAAGTCTGATACTCCTGAGGAAGGAGTACAAAATGAGTCAGAACTACCAACTAATAATTAACACACTGGGAAGTCATCCAGCCAATTTGACGCTTCCCCTCTGCTCTGCACGAATGCCAAATTAACACAGAGCTAAGCCCGCTCAGCCAACCTACCTCTAGTAGAGCAGCACCGATTTGTACCTGCTGGGTGTTGGGGTTAAAGGCTTCAGACACAAAGTATTTTGTGTCTTATCACATCCCATTAGGGCTCAATTATTAGCTATCAGCACACAGAACTTACATCCAGCCCCACCGTCGGTGTGGTGCTTTGCAGCAAGGGTTTAGTCACCGCGATTTTGCCACTTGGTGAGCCATTTCCAGCAGCCGGGGGCAGCGCATTCACCGTGTGGGTGTGGTTGTGGAGCTGCGTGGTCCCTCCAGTGACAGCAATGACTGGCTGGGAGGCAGGAAGCACCCCAGAAGCCTGGAGCTGTACCACGGTGGGCTGGGGGAGCACCACTGATTGACCTAGAACACAAGAACAAATGCGAGTGCTTAGCATGTGGTACAAAATGATTTGTAGGTGGTCAGTTTGTAGAGCGATACTGATAGAGGCGGTAGGAAGCTTTGCTTCCCTGCCCTATATTTAAGTCAAATTCTTCAACATTTTACCACAGGGAAAAAAAAAAAAGTCTCAAAAGAAGTTTGCATGGCCCTTAATCCATCCTGCAAACAAAGAGCACACATATGAAAGGGATCCATTAAATCAATCTGTCTTAAAACCTGCTGGCTCTTCAAAGTTAATTAAAAAAAAAAATCAATACTTTTTAGAAACTTACTCTTGTCTCAATATTGCTATGCTAACACTTGATGAACATTGAGCAACTTTTTCAAAGAACCTAGGCAGCTCACCTTAATCCTTCTGCTGCCTTTTGTCCATCTCTACTTCACTGCTGTGGAAATGTTACCACACAGAAGTGACTCATACTATACAATTCAGAAACAGTGTAGAAAAAGATGAACAAGAAAGAACAACCCCAGTTATGCTTTCAAAATGCAAGTTAAAGCCTCAGTTCACACTGAGACAAGAACAAGTTTTTGGAAAAAAAAAGTACTGCCTTATATAAGGAACGTTACACACAAGCTGAACAGAGCTTGAAGAAAAGCAAGCAGAAAAAATGAGGTAATTTCCAAAGAGCTTTGAAATGGAATTATGAACAGTCACATCCAAGAAACTTCAGTCCAAGAACTACATTTAACTCAAGCAGGTGCTTAAGTAATATTTTGTTGCATGAAAGAACATGAACATCTCTTTAATCCTCTGTAACAAGATGACCTGGCTGCCTCTTAGGAGCAGCACATTCCAGCTGAGCATTCCGATCAATATGCATGACTCTGTATTACAGCACTTATCCGACTTTCTGGAAGATGAGGAATGAAGTCATTTACCCAGCGCTCCAAGATCTTTTATGTGCGAGGTAAAGGATCAGGTCGCTTTATTGCAGAGATGGTATTAAAGGCATAGTAAGTGAGAACGACCCTATTTAAGCACTTCAAACGGCAAATTTGAGCTGCTTTCAATAAGTTTTTTAATGCATAGAGCATGTGATGCTCTAACATCATGCTTTCTTCTTCTAGGCTTTCATGAAAGTGACTACAAAAAGGAGGATCATTCCTTACCCTCCTTGAAGATACTGGCACATCTCAATCTGGCAGCTCCGATGTGCCACGGGCAGGGGATTTTGATTAAGATATATTAATCAAAATATTTTTGTGCTGGAAGGGGCACTACAGAATTTTTAAATATGCCATCAAAGTAAATACATTGCACAGAAATACTTTTCCAACAGTATTTCCTCTGGAGTGCCTCACAGAAGCTATTCTCCTGACTTTTCTTCAGAGGAAAGGAGAAGCTGATCTTCACAGCACTGTATTTATACCCAAAAACTTCATACCCGCAACATTCCTTATTCCAAATGGTATTTTATCAGCTGGAACATCAGACACAGTAAGAATTAGGTCACGCTGACTGTGCCGCTCTGTGTTTTAAGCAGTCTAACAATCCTAGGCATGTTGCAACAAATGTCAGCCTCTGCAGCTTTGGCTTAGCTCCTGATGGATGAGCAATTAGTAAGAAAGACAAAATTTCACTATTGTAATGGTTTCTAGATACATTCACTGACATATTTATTGCCTTTCCCCTCCACTCCTCACCGCCTGTACAGTCAACTGCAAAAATCTGCAGCCATCAGCTGGTGAAAACAAGCAACTGCATCTGACTATTTCCACAATGCAAGTAACATCCCTGCTCCCTTTGCAGTGGCATAAAATAGTGCTTGGGATTCCAAAAAAAGAATCAGGCTTCAACAAACTCTTACAGAGCAACAGGATGAAAACTTGTCAATGGACAGGAAATCATTTGCCTCTTGTTAACATCAGCTCATAGCTGCACGCAACCATTCTAACCTCTGGCACTGTTCTCGTACCTGTTAACAGATTTCGTAACTTCCTTTTAAAAGTTACTGAATTAGAGAAAAAGCCATAAACTCATTTTCCTTCTATTCTGTGTCAGAGTTTCATGTAGGTAAAAAACTTTTATCACTCCTTCCCAAGCTTTCAAGTTGCATTCAGCCATCCTGACTGGTGCATCTTCCTTTGGTGAGGGCAGAGCAGAACAGGGTTCACCCCGTGCACCACTTGCCAATCACAAGCAGAGCAGAGCGAAGGATCCCCAGAGATCTACCCAGATCAGCAGCTTTATTTCCACAATTCCCAGTGCTCAGGGAATTGCCACACCGTCTTCCATCCACACCATGCTCAGGCAACTGTTGTTTTGCACACAACTACACGACAAAGAACTAAGGCCATTTTCTCAGTGTAAACCTTTTCCAGCAAAGCATGCAGCATCCCTCTTTTATTCCCACCCCTCCTGCTTCTTTTTTCCTACTCCCTCTGTTTCACCTGCCAAACATAACTTCAGTTTAGGGACCATCCCAAACAGACACAGTGTTTACCCCCAGGACACGGCGCAGTCCTGACAATTCACCCACCTTTGGGAGGTGCTGGCTGGATGTTAACAACTGGCTGATGCTTTGGCAGTGGCACAAGTGTTGGAAGAGTCTGAATAATGATGGTTTTAGCTGGGATGCCAATGTTAGTCTGAGCCTCAGGTACAGCAGGCAGAAGGGGCTTCGGTTGTATTGAAGGCCTGGATGCTGACTGACATTTCTTCGGAGTTTTCACGGAATTATTTGCTAGGAAAGGAAGAAGAGTCAGAGTAGGGCCAGAGGATCTAAAATTAAAAAAAAATCCAGCAGGAATGGCTGGAAGCAACGTGGCTTTTGGTATGTTTCATTATCCATCTGTGACATTTATTAAAGTTGACGTATCCATAGTTGTGGAATCAAAGTAACTCAATCTCTCCTACCAGAGCGAGAAGTGGCGCTGACAGCAGGCTTCTTCCCTGCATCTCCTTCAGGGGACGCGGGGCTTCCAGAACTCTTGATGTAGAGGGAGATGGGAGACATCTGGGAGCTACAGCTGAAGTCCATATCATCCTGCAGACAGAAAATAGATGAGGTTACGCTTCAGAAACAGGTAAAAATGACTACTAGAAACTGTGACATGTTGCTGCTGCAGGACACAGGAGAAAGGTTTTGTTCTATTTTATTCTGGTCAATGCTAAGCAACACTGAAAACCCAAGCAGCACCTTCTCCTCATCAGCAGAATGAAGAGGGGCAGAGACCAGCAACTGCTGGACTCAGAAGCCTTTAAAAGGCATTTGTTTGGCAAGCAGGCACACAACTAAGGTAACAGAACTGAACCTGCTCTTTTTGGAATGGATCTCAGTAGGAGGGTAAGGAAAACATTACTGAAGGGAAGTTTTTTGCACACAGGTTGGAAAAATAAGCTGTTTCCTCTTATTCTGCAAAGTTGGTCAGACACATAAATCAACAAGCTTTTTGTTTGCCACAGTTGGGTCTGAATGACTCCTGCTATCTGTGTTACGGGGAGGTTTCTGCATACAGGCACATTCTGCACCTGGCGAGTCCACAGACGATGGAGAAGGGACCGAACAACTTGAAGCGGCTGGTGATAAGGGCTCTGTCTTCACGTTTGCATCTGCAGGAGACAGACAAAGAAGTTTTACCGTTGGAGTCTTTAACAAGGGGAGATCAGTAATGAACACATTGTGCTAGCTATTTAATTCCTGAAGCAAGGCACAGCAGAGAGCTTTGAGAGATGGAAGACACTTAACAGCTTGGCCTGCAGGCCAGCCCTCACCAGCTGCACCCATCCTACAGAAACACCGCCTGATTTCTCAGCAGAGGGACAGGTTCAGCAGGCACCCAACGGTGCCAAACGATCGGCACCATAAGGCACTAACAGCTCACCCTTGTGGTGCAGGGGGGGCATTGCCCCAGCTGCTGAATACAGCCAGGAGTTACCTGAATAAGCGTGGCTTGTGATGTTCCAAAGGTCTGAGTCCCAGGACATCAAATCCAAGTCAAAATGGAAGTTACAGAGATCGCTTTCCTGAAATGACAGTTCGGAAAAACAAACAGGACAAAAAGACAACACACACTGAGACCATCCATCAGCTGTTGTGTTCACATTTTTATAATTACAAGCGAAGGAAAGCAGAGGAAAGCACAGGACTATCAGTTAGCTGCCTGAAGGCGTGCAGAGATAAGAGCCTTTAGAGGGGCCTTCTCAACTGACTACAGAAGAAAAAATAAATAACAAAAAGAAGGATTCTAGGCTTCTTTTAGAGCTTGGAGATATAGGAGAAGAGCATTTCAGCTCAAGGGCATCAGTGGTTGTTGTTGGTCTGTTATCAAAGCTTCACAAAGCAAAAGTTCCAACTGCAGCCACTGAACCACCCCCTACACGGTATAGGCTTGGTGACTTGTTGCCATCTTCTCCCTTCACCTTCATTGAAGGATTCAATTAACGCCCTTCTATCGCCACATCTCAAGGCGTTTTATAAATTACAGCAGAGAGCTGCAGCAGTTTCCCAAGAGCAGGAGACCCGCGGCTCAGGATCACCTCAGTGCTGTTACGCACGGATCAGGCCTCCCCACGCCTGACCACACCGACATCGTCATCGCCTAAAACCGGAGCCACCGCTTCCATTTCCCACCAGAAATTAAAAAAAGAGGCTCTGATCGCTCCCCCAGCCCCGGCCCCGGCTCACCTCGGGCTCTGCCCCCATGTCCCGCGGCGGCCCGGCGGCGCCCAGCAGCTCGCCCAGCTCCTCGCCCAGCACCGCCTCTGTGGAGGGGGGGGGGAGAGAAACAGCGGCCTCAGCACCGGCACCGGGCTCGGCTGCTGCCGGCCCGGCCCCATCCCCGTCCCCCGTCCCCCTCCCCGTCCTCAGGTCCCCCCTCACCCCAGTCCAAGCCGCCCCCCGCGGCCGGCAGCAGCCCCGCGGGCTCCCACTCGGCCTCGGCCGCAGCCGCCGCCATGGCTTCCTCCTTCCTGCTCCGCCGCTTCCGCCCCCCTCCTCGCCACACCCCGCTACGGCGGCCTCCGACGGACAGGGCCAGCCCCAAAAATAAATAAATAAAGTAAATAAATAAATAAAAAGCACCTACCACACCCCCTACCCCGCCTCCCCCATGAACCCACCCCCCCCCCTTTGGTACTCCGCCATGTATCCCCCCCCACAGCACACGGAGGCACAGGTCAAACACACACACACATTTATTTATTTATTGCCCCCCAAAACCCAGCCGGGGGCTTCCCCCCTTTCCCACACAAGCTGAAGGTCCGTGGCTGAGCTCTGGGGTCTCCTCCACACACATGGGGCAGCGGGGTGATGGCCCTCACAGCACGGCATTCCCTGCCTGCAAGGAGAGGGGAGAGGTTTTGGGGGACTCGCCGCCTGCTTGGCCTGCGCCTAGGGGTCTCCTCCTCTCCACACACACACACTTCAGGTGGAGGAGCCTGCAAGCTCGTAGGTTTTCCATACACAGCTTGTTCAGAGCAAGGGATGTCGCCAGCGTGCTGTGAGGTGGCAGCGTGCCGGCACGCACCTCACAAGTTGGAGTCGTAGGCTGCGTTGGTGAAGATGCCTGGTGATCCGAGGTCGCTAGGAGGAAAAGCAGAAGGGTGTCAGCTTGGGGGAAAAGAGGCAGTCATCGTTACAGAGTCATTAGGGTTGGAAAGGACCTCCCAGATCATCTGCTCCATCACCCTACCACCAATGTCACCTGCTAAACCATGTCCCTAAGCACCACATCCAACCTTTCCTTGAACAACCCCAGGGACGGTGACTCCACCACCTCCCTGGGCACCCCACCCCAATGCCTGACTGCTCATTCAGAGGAGAAATGTCTCCTCATTTCCAACGTGAACCTCCCCTGACGCAACTTGAGGCCACTCCCTCTACTCCTATCACTAGTTAATCATGTGTGTGTGAGGAAAGCACTCGTGTCTGCCACGTCTCCCCAGGGGCTGCACAGTCAGACCTGACATCATGCACTACAGCAGAATCACAGGGTTTTGATGAGCACCAATTAACACGACATCATTAGCCCCTGAATAGGCTCCCACTGCTTCTCAAAGCAGCCTCACATGCACAGATATGGGTAACTGAACCCTACTGGGGTGACTGCAGGGGTAGCAACCATGCTGCCTGCAGGGCACGGCCCCGGGCACAGCTCTCACCTGGTGGGGTTCAGGAGCTTCTTCTTCTCCTCTGATAATGGTGTTGAAGTGTCCACGTGGATAGTGCCAATGCAAAAGAAAGAACCAGATATTTTTAGCAGAGGGCTTGGGAAGCAGCAGCACTTGACAAAGTGAACCAAGTTTAACAAGCATGGGATGGAGGAGAGGGGTGCTGGGGCAATTGCTTTCTCCCTCTTCAAGGGGAAGGTGTTTTTCTGGCTTCCCCCCCAGTCTGGCTGCTGACACTTTTTAGCTGGACACAGCATCACATTTCTGAACTCTTTCAACCAACCCACCCTCCCTGGGTCTCCCATCCAAAGCGAGCGTGGGCTGCAGGAGGTGTTTCTGTACCTCTGTCACTGAGCCGTTTGGCGAGCAAGGCAAGGAGCGTCCCAGAGAGCACCACGCCAGCTACCACCAGAGCACTGCTGCTGGTGTAAACCAGGACTTGCTTTAAGAAGGCGGCAGCATCCTCTGCAACAGATCCACAACACCACAGGTTGTTACCAGAAGGACTTCACCAAGCCAAAGCCACCACAGTTCCCCCCCTCCATGCTCAAGTTGTGCCACAGAAGGCTGGGGATCGCAGCCCCACCGTACCTTTGCAGACAGGGGAATGGCCAGTCCAGTTCCCTGTGGCCTGACACCTGAGCAGCCTTGCTCCCATCCGGACAAATCCATCCTCACAGGAAAAGGCGCAGGTGGAGTTGTACGTGAAATTGCCGTGGGGGTGAGAGCAGTTCAGGTGGCCTCGGCTCGGGGGCTCCAGCACTGGGCAGCTGATGGCTGGGGGCAGAGCACAGCAGCAGCGTTGGTGGGATGGCATTGGGGGTGGTGGGATGAGGGCCCAAGGGCTGGGGAGCCAGGGGATGAGCTCCTACAGGTGAGTGCTAAAGGGAAGGGGATCTTGGTGAATGCATTCTGCTAATGCGTAGCAGTGTGCACTGCACTGGCCTTGCATGGCACTTCCCAGGAGGCTTGATTTCAGAGGGTCAGGCACCCACATGGTGCTGTGCACCCAGCATATACACCCCTACTGGGGTCACAGAGGGTGTCAGGATAAGGACAGTGATGCAGGGGCTTCATTGCTACCTCCTTACACAACTCCCCCCACTCCTAGCACCACCTGCCTGAGCACTTGTGGCTCAGCAACTCTAACAGAGGGACTCTGAGGACAGATCCTGAGGATGTGGCATCTCTTCACCAGAGTACATGATTCCGGCACATGTGTGAACACCAACTGTACCTCTGCATCGTGGGGTGTCCCCAGTCCAGGTTCTCATGGCCATGCATGCACGGCTCTGTGACCCTTTCAGCTCAAACCCTGGCTGGCAGGAGAAGGCACACGTGGAGGTGAAGGTGAAGCTCCCATAGAGATGGGAGCAGTTCATCCTTCCATGTTCTGGAGCCCTGAGCATTGGGCAGGTGATGGCTGCAAGGGAGAAGAGACACACCTCAAAAAGGAGCCAGGGGAATGGGAGGCTGAGCAGCCAAGAACATCCTGGGGCCAAACCCAGGCCAGCAAAACCTTTACCAACAGCTCTACCTTTGCACTGTGGGGTGTCTCTGGACCAGGTCCCCATGGCTGTGCAGTCACGGCTCGCTGGCCCTATGAGCTCAAACCCTGGCTGGCAGGAGAATGCACATGTGGAACTGAAGCTGAAGTTCTCGTGAAGGTGGGAGCAGTTCATCTCTCCATGCTCTGGAGCCCTGAGCACCGGGCAGGTGATGGCTGCAAGGGAGAAGAGACACACCTCAAGCAGGAGCCAGGAGACCGTGAGGCTGAACTACTGGGATGAGAAGCCCAGGAACATCCTGGGGCCAAGTCCACGCCAGCAAAACCTTTACCAGCAGCTCTACCTTTGCATTGTGGGATGTCTCCGGACCAGGTCCCCATGGCTGTGCACTCATGGCTCTCTGGCCCTATGAGCTCAAACCCTGGCTGGCAGGAGAATGCACACGTGGAATTGAAGCTGAAGTTGTCATGAAGGTGGGAGCAGCTCATCCTTCCATGCTCTGGAGCCCTGAGCACTGGACAGGTGATGGCTGCAAGGGAGAAGAGGCATACTTCAAGCAGGAGCTAGGGGACTGAGAGGCTGGACTCTTGGAACCAGGAGGACCAAAATCTCATAGAGCCAAACCCAGCAGAACCTTTACCAGCAGCTCTACCTTTGCACTGTGGGGTGTCCCCAGACCAGGTCCCCATGGCTGTGCATGCACTGCTTTCTGGCCCTATGAGCTCAAACCCTGGCTGGCAGGAGAAGGCACACGTGGAATTGAAGCTGAAGTTGTCATGTAGGTGGGAGCAGTTCATCTCTCCATGCTCTGGAGCTCTGCGCATCGGGCAGGTGATGGCTGCAAGGGAGAAGAGGCACACCTTAAGAAGGAGCCAGGAGACTGCGAGGATGAACTGTCGGGATGAGAAGCCCAAGAACATCCTGGGGCCAAACCCAGGCCAACAACACATTTACCAACAGCTTTACCTTTGCATTGTGGGGTTTCCCCGGACCAGGTTCCCATGGCTGTGCACTCACGGCTCTCTGGCCCTATGAGCTCAAACCCTGGCTGGCACGAAAATGCACACGTGGAACTGAAGCTGAAGTTCCCGTGAAGGTGGGAGCAGCTCATCTCTCCATGATCTGGAGCCCTGAGCACTGGGCAGGTGATGGCTGCAAGGGAGAGGAGGAACACGTCAAAAAGGAGCCAGGGGATTGTGAGCCTGAACTCTTGGAACCAGGAATACAAAAACCTCATAGGGCCAAGCCCAGGTCACTGACACCTTTACCAGCTGCTCTACCTTTGCATTGTGGGGCATCCCCAGACCAGGTCCCCATGGCTGTGCACTCACGGCTCTCTGGCCCCATGCGCTCAAACCCTGGCTGGCAGGAAAATGCACACGTGGAACTGAAGCTGAAGTTCTCGTGAAGGTGGGAGCAGTTCATCTCTCCATGCTCTGGAGCCCTGAGCACTGGGCAGGTGATGGCTGCAAGGGAGAAGAGGCATGCTTCAAGCAGAAGCCAGGGGACTACAAGGCTGACCTGTATAGGATACGAAGCCCAAGAACATCCCTGGGACAAACAGAGGTCACTGACACCTTTACCAGCAGCTCTACCTTTGCATTGTGGGTTGTCCCCAGACCAGGTCCCCATGGCTGTGCATGCACTGCTTTCTGGCCCTATGAGCTCAAACCCTGGGTGGCAGGAGAAGGCACATGTGGAACTGAAGCTGAAGTTGTCATGAAGGTGGGAGCAGCTCATCTCTCCGTGCTCTGGAGCCCTGAGCACCGGGCAGGTGATGGCTGCAAGGGAGAAGAGGCATGCTTCAAGCAAGAGCTAGGGGAACAGGAGGCTGAGCTGTTGGGATGAGAAGCCAGGAACATCCTGGAGACAAACCCAAGCCAGCAAAACCTTTACCAGCAGCTCTACCTTTGCACTGTGGGGTGTCCCCAGACCAGGTCCCCATGGCTGTGCATTCAATGCTTTCTGGCCCCATGAGCTCAAACCCTGGCTGGCAGGAGAAGGCACATGTGGAACTGAAGCTGAAGTTGTCATGAAGGTGGGAGCAGCTCATCTCTCCGTGCTCTGGAGCCCTGAGCACTGGGCAGGTGATGGCTGCAAGGGGAGAGCAGGGTTTCAGGGCAGGACATGGGTGAGATTGAATCCAAGGATTAAGCCTTAATCCTAACCTTATCAAACTGAACCTATAGGGGTGTCTTTAATCTACTTTTCCCATCCTGACCCCAGGCAGCAAGCCTCACTTCCTGAGACACTGAGGTGCCGTAGGTGGTACAGGGATTTTTGCTCCACACACGTGATTTTGTGGGAGCACTCGCAGCTCTGCCAGAACCCTGTTTATCCCCAGCACTCCCAGACTGCAGCCCCAGGGCAAAGGACTGCAAGCACCCTATGCAGAGCCCATTTCCCCGCAGGATGTCCCCCTCCAGACACCCCCCAGCTCTACCTTTGCAGTGCGGGGGAGCCCCCGACCAAGCCCCCTCAGCCGTGCACCACAGTCTCTCCGGTCCCGTCACCTCAAAGCCCTCCTGGCAGGAGAAGTCACACGTGGAGCTGAAGGCAGAGGCTCCGTGTGGGTGGGAGCAATTGACCCGGCCGCTTTCGGGAGCCGCCAGCTCGGGGCAGGCAACGGCTGCAACCAGACACAGACAGAGCTGGTGAGGATGGAACAGGCACAGCCACCTTGCCCCCCTTGTCCCTGTGGTACCCAGGGCATGTCCAGCCCTGCCACAGCAGAAGCCTGTGCTTAGTGCTGGAGAAAACCCAGCTGGCAATGCTCGCTAGCATAGCTCCATTATCAGCAGGGGCAAACAACTGACTCATCTGATTCTTTGCAAAAAGAAAGGAAAGAAAAACCCAGCATACATACAGCCAGCAGGTAAAAACAGAGCTGCGCTCTGGAAAACCAACTGTGGGAACTTGGAAAGCTGGAAGCAGGGTCAGGGCGGCTTGCTGGATGGTGTGTAGGGGGACTTCCAAAAAGCCGGGGCCAGCTCCTGACCCTGCCACCAGCAGACCATCACATCACCCCTCCGTGCCCGTTTCCCATAACTGGGGAAAGCCCCGGGACACAAGCCCACTGAGCTCAGCACCATCCACAGCGCTAACTGCAAGGCAAGTTTTGTTTCCCAAAAACCTACATACAGAGAGCCCGCCCTTCAGACAAGTAGGATTCAGGGAGCTCGGGGGTCCGTATCAGTGTCTGTGCTGCGTTATCTCTGCATGACCTCACTGCTTCCCGCTGGGTGTCCCCATACAGGAGGTGCCCCTTTGCGTCCCGTATCTGCTCTGGGGCTCCACTCGTCCCGTCCTTGTACAAACACACTGAGCTGGCACCCAGGGGCACGGAGGAGGTGGAGCAGGGCTCCGCACACACCCCAACCACAAGAAAGCTCAGCACCTCTCTGGGGCACCGGGAGAGCAGCTGTGAGCCCTCGAGATGCCAACAGGAAGACTTTCTCTGTCTCTGCAGCATGGCAGACCGCAGCTCCCTCCTTTGTGGCTTTCCCCCCCGCGGTGGCTTCCTGCCCTCTGTGTCCCTCCCAGCTTATCTCACCTCATCTCACCGCCCCTCGCCCCTGCTGCCCAGCCCTGCCAGGGCACACCCGTCCTCCTGCCACAACAGCAACCCCTGTCCTTATTCCCCGAGCCCCCCTGGGGTGCCCAGGACCTTCCCAAAGCTGCTGGGGGCTTTGGGGAGGAACAGAGGGTGCGATGGAGGTGGCAAGATACCACTGAGCACCTGCACGAGCGATGCTGGGCATCAGTGCCACATCTGAGTCCCAGCCCGCTGTGGTCCCTACCTGCACACGTGGGGGTCTCCGCTGACCACTGCCGTGAAGCCAGGCACCGCAGCGTGCCCTCACCTCGCCGCTCGAACCCCTCCGGGCACCCGAAATCGCAGGTGGAGTTGTATCGGAAGTCCCCAAAGGGATGGCTGCAGGTCATGAGTGCTCCTTGGGCATCGAGCGTGGGGCACTGCACGGCTGGGAGACACACAGCAAATCCTTCACTGGGGCTCAGCAATAAGGGTGGGGGGCTTTTGGGGCCACAGCCAGCAGCAGGCAGAGGCTGAGCTGCTCGATGCCACCCAGGAGGAGCACCCTGACCCCCAGCAGAGCCCGCCAGGCACTCACCAATACTGCAATCGTCCCCTTCAAAACCGGGGTGGCACTCGCACCTGTAGCTCTTGATGACCTCCACACACTCCCCGTGCGGGCGGCAGGTGGAGGCCTGGCAGGAGGCTGCACACACACACACACACACACAGAACATGGTCAGGAGCCACCAAAACCACAGACATCCCACCACAGCCCCCAGCCCCGCACCCACCTTTGTAGCACAGCGCCGTCTTCTTCTTGTTGCAGGGCTCGTCGTTCCACTTGCCCGCCTCCTGCTGCCGCTTGATGTAGATCTCCACGCAGTCCTGGTTGGAGCGGCGGTTGTTGGGCTCCCCCCTGGCCCAGTTCTCCGCCTCCTTGGTCAGCACCTTGTTGGTGCCCACCCAGGTCCAGACGCCGCCCTGCTTGCGGATGCCGATCCAGTAGTACTGCCTGAGGAAGGGCAGGGTGGCGTTGAGGTAGGCGATCTCCTCCTTGTTCTGGATGGCCACCAGGTCGGTGAAGAAGGTCCGGCAGTAGTTCCTGGCCTGCTCCCACGAGTAGAGCCCTGGGTCGCTGTAGCTGTACGTCCAGGCCTCCACCTGCGTCACCATGCCTGCAGGAGAGGACACGGTCCAGGGTCACCACCGAAAAGATCAGAGCTGGGGACAGGTTGGTGAGGACATGAGGGTGAGCTCAGGCTGGCAGAAGTGCCAGGAGACACCAGCCACCAGCTGGACAAGGGGACACAAGGGGACAAAGGGAGAAATGTGGGTGAAAACGGGTCTCAAAGAGGGTGTGCAGAGACCTGTGTGGTGCAGGCACAGCAGGACATGATGTGGGACAGAGAGACAAGAAAAGTGGGAGACAGCTGGGGCTCCCCTGCCCACAAGGGCCTCCCAAAGAGGAAAACTGGTATCAAGATGGTTCCTTAACACACATTTCCTTCCACGAGTGCAGAGCTGTGCATAGCTGTACTGCTTTTGTAATTTTTTTTCCTCATTTGCTTTACAATTCCACATGAGGGTCAGCTTGGTGCAGGGAAGAGGACCAAGTGCACCCCATACCCGAAAACATCTGGCAGCTGGAGGTTGCCTGAAGAGCCCTGTAAACTTCAGTGTTGCACAACAAAGCCTTGCAAAAGCGAAGCTGACATCCTCCTCGTGCCCACCAGGCAGGATGAAGCCCAGATTAACTGGAACCCACGCCCAGAAGCAGAGGGTACTTTGCTGAAACGCTGCTTCTAGAAACAGCGCTTCACATCACAACCTGATGCAATCAAAAGGTTTTTGCCATAAAGAAGCTTCTCCCTAGAAGGAGGAATCCCCACAGCTGCAGAACGAAGCCTGAAAGCAAGGTGGGAGCCAGCATTTGCTCCAAGCAGTCTGCCTAGGGTACCCTGTGTCTCAGGAGAGCACTTCATAAATCTTTATTATGAAGGCAAAAGACTGAGCTTTGTAAATTAAATGCAATTTTAAGGCTTCCCATATCTAACAGGAAGTCTACTCAGGCCAGTTACTATGCATTTATATAGGCAAAATCCCCTATTTTTTTCTGTCCTTCCTCGTGAGAGATTAAACTACCCATTTCTGTTAAACGAATCCAAAGGCAGAAAAAGGTGGCCACTAGCAGCAGCCCTGCTCCTCACTCCCCAGGGGCTCGGGACACCTCCTGGCAGCCTGCCTCCCCTTGGGGCAGCCACCCCACTACCCCTGCACACCCCAACCCCAGAAGGACCACGGAAGCCCTTCCACACCTCACCTGTCCTCCACACACTCTCCTGCCTCAATCCTCCTTGTGCTCAGCCTTATCTCACCTCTCCCTGCCCACCTGGAGCTGAGCCCCACCTGGGTGCCGTTTGCTTGGGTTTCACGCCCTGACGCTCCTGCCCCGTGCAGCTGGGCACGGTGTGGGACACGGGGCTGCCACACTCGGGGTGCATTTGTATTTTTGATTTCCTGGCTAGACCTAAATCTCAGCCTCCTCCTGAAACTTCTGCATTTGCCTGTACCCTTCAGCTGAGCCACGAAAGGTCTTTTAGAAAACAGCCCGGACCCTGCAGGACCCCTGGGGACACAGCAGATACCAGTGGGTCTTGCTCCGTGCAGTGCCAATGTACGAAGGAAATGCCCTACGGGCAGCAAAGCCCGCTGGTTTCTGTGTGACTGACGGGCTCCCAAAAATAACCCCGCTGCCCTTCTCTGGTTTCCTAGCTCTGCAGGGTCATGCTGGGCTCACTTACCCCATGTGATGGCAGCGATGCCCAGGTAGCAGACACCACGAGAGCCCAGAGCCCCCGTCCTCCCAGCGAAGCACTGTCCCGCGGCGGTGCCCTGCGTGCCAGGGAGAGAGGCGTGAGCACACACAACCCACAACACCGGAGTCCCGTGCACCCACAAGGGCACCTGCACCAGCTGTGGGATGGATGCTGGTGCTCTCCTGCCAAGCAGACCCCAAAATGTCCCTGGGGAGAGGAGCAGACCTACCATGCTGGTGCTGCAGGGTGCCCTGGCCCTGGGCAGACAGCAGTGCTCGCGCTTCCTCCGAGCCACGGAGCCTCGCTCCCTCCCCGCAGCCTCTTCCCCTCCCGACCCAGCCCCGCTGTCAGCCCGCATCCTGCCCCCGCTGGGCTCCCCACCCGCAGGAGCCTGCTCCCCTCCGGGGGCTCCACGGGGACCTACCTGTCTCAGGAGCCCACCGCAACGAGCAGGGCTTGGCCGAGCCCCCGGGGAGGTGCAGAAGGGCACCCCGGAGGGGGACAGCCCCGATCCACAACCACCGAGACCTCTCCGGCCCCCCATGTCCTCGCTGTGCTGGCGGTGGCAGCAGGAGGACGGCGGGGGGACGAGGTGTGAGGAGAGGTGGCCACAGGGGTGGCCGGGCAGCCTCCCAGTTCCTGAGCCGGATGCTCTTCTCATTTGCAGGCTGTGAATCTTCATATACCGCTCAAGAACAATTAGTTACACAATGTATTTTCCTGTCTCTGCCTCTTTTGAGTCTTTATGAGAAAGGTCCAAAAACAGGACAGAAGAACACCCCCCACCCCCTCCCGTTAGCATCCTTTATGAACTTCCACCAGTGCTCCAGGAAAATGCCCCATTGTGTCCACCTTCTTGAATCATCATAAATCTTTTTTTACCCCTCTTCTGCTCGTGAGTGAAATCGTCTTGGCAGGGCTTTCTGCAGGAATTGCTCTGCTCACTTCCAGCTAAAGGCAGCGCGGGAGCCCCTCGGGTCACGAGCATTTCCCACTTCCAAAGAAATTAAACGGGGCTCCAGCGGGACGTGCCCTACACAAAGGGAGGAACCCATCCCACAGAACCCACGAGCTGCTACAATGACTGCGTACTCCGCCAATGTAAATGCAACTCTGTTCCTGTATTCTGTCATTAGCTTTGCAAAATCCTGGACTGCAACTTTCCCGTTTTATGGAAGAGCTGCAGCCCAGCCTGTGCACGCAGGAGTTTGGCAGCAAACGCTGTGTGTCAGCTCCCGTGCAGAGGGTGAGCAGCTTTGGGATGGGGATGGGCAGCGAGGCCAAGGGGTGGCTGCCAGGGCAGGGGGACACCTCGGAAAGCCGAGGTCCCCTGGGCAGGATGGGAGTTGCCGCTGCTGCAGCGGGGCAGGAGCAGGCAGAGGTGTGTTTGTGGGTGCTCAGCCCCAGGGGAGGACAGGAGGAAAACAGGTTGTGCCCCTGCTGGTTTCACTTCTGCTGGGCCGGGACATGGCAGGGCAGGGCAGCAGCAAAGAAATCTTCCCACCTTTGTTTTTGTAAGTGCAAATTGTAAAAACAGAAGCGAGGTGGCTGAGCCCCGGGGGCTGCCATGGGCAGGACACGGCCACGTACTCAGGGATGCTTTGCAGGTAGTGGAGAGGGGTACGTGTGGCAGGGGGGGAGCAATGACCACAATCAGCTCGGGAGGAGCTCCCCAGGCAGGCACACGCTGCTCTTGTTTTCGGCAGAGGCCCTGGTCCCCGGGCAGCCCAGCCCCTTGCCCTCCTTGCGCAATGTTCCCTGGCAAACCGCAGAGGAACCGACTCACCCTGACACAGCCCGGCTGCTGCCGGCGATACCACGGGCACCTTCCTGGGGACCCCCGCAGCCCCCGGGGGTGCTTTTTGTCCCAAAGAGGGTCCCGAGCCGCAAGGTGCCTCCGGGTGCATCTTGCCTCGGTGGGCCCTCCAGCGCGACGCCTGGCCCGCAGCGCCGGGGGGAAAGCAGCACCCGATAAAATCTTTCTCACGGCTTGAAAGCGAGAACAGTTTGGCCACAGGAAAACATGTTTATCCAAGCATCACCCCAACCAGCACGGGGTGAGGTTGGTAGCGAGGAGGAGCTGGGCCAGAGGGATAGAGTTGTCCCCAAGATGTCCCCGGGCACCCACGAGGCGTGACAACTCCATCTGAGGGGTCAGGGGGGTTGGGGACAAGTCCCCCTGCCCACCCCACAGATCCCAGTGCCTGCTGACCCCTCTCAGAGCCAACTCTTGGACCCCTGCTGCAGCAGAGCTCTCAGCCTCCCGCCTTTGCCCCGGGACCCAGGTGATGGAGAGTTTTTGGCTGGACATCGCCGCCACCCGTGTGACCCTGCAGGCTGGCTCCCTGGCGCCTGGCTGCGGCATCACGTGCCTGGCACAGATAAGGCTTTGCCAAACAGGATGCCGGGGGCGTAGATAACGCCAAGGTTCTCGTGCTGCTGGCGTGGGGCGTTGTAAACAAGCGGTGCTGCCCGCCGGGGTGCAGGGTGGGTGCGTGGAGCCCGAGGCATCCCATCCCCCCTGTCCCCCCCGACTGTGCCGTGACCCCTCCTGGGGGCTGCAGCAGCTCTGCCCGCACCCTGCCCGGCTTGTGCCACCCCAGACATCAGCAGCGCTTTTGAGACGTGTCTGCACAGTCTGTTTTAATGCAGTGAGCAATTTCAGTCTTCCCACGTCTAACAGAGCAAGCCCAGAGGTGGGTTCCCCCGCCCATCACCCCCAGCGTGTTTTTGGGCCTTTCCTCTCCCTCACATCTGGCTCCATCCCCTCGCTCCTCGGCCACGGCAGCTCCCAGGCAGAGCCACCCCGGGGGAGCGGATGAACGCACTCAGCAGTGAGAGCCTCGTGTCCAGCCAGAGCCAGCCTCTGCGGAGCAAACAATGTCCTCTCCTCCTGCCAGGAAATCCTGAGGCACCCGTGTGCACGCAGCGAGGCCAGCTCTATTTTTCCCTGACACAGAAGCATCCTTGAGCGTGTTCTTCACCTTTTGGCAGGCCGGGGCTGAGCTTTCCTCTTCTCACCAGTGCCGGGCGAGCAGCCTGCCTGGCGCTTTCTGTGCCCTCCTTGTTGGGCGCTGACAGCAGGTTGGTGCTTTCTGCACCAAGCAGATCTCGGTTCTCTTTCTGCTCCATGTAGCTTGTCCTGCAGCTCCCCAGTCACTTTTTAAGTCGCCGGGTTATTTTCTACAGGTGGGTTGGGGTTTACACCCTTCGCTCTGTCCTGCCAGCTCTCTGCGTGTGCCAAATGCACCAGCCATGGAAAACTGCCTTCTGCGCAGGGCACCTCCCCGTACCTGGCCCGGGTACATGGGAGGGGATGTCCGTGACACACAAGCCCTCCCCTGCAGGCACCCTCCTTCCTCGGAAAGCTCTCCTCTTCTCTCCTTTCCTCTCCTCGCTGCTGTCCCTGGGTGCCTGCAGGACGAGCCCAGTGATGGGGACATTTCTCCTGCCTTCTCGCCCCGCCGTTTGTTGAGGTTGCCTCTCTCTAACAGTCCTGACCCTGGGGGCAAGCCCCTGCAAGAAAAACAAAACAAACAAACAAAAAACCCACCGCAAATAACAAGGGGAAGGATATTCCCAACATTTTGTTGTCATCTTTGAAATTAATTCCTCCTTAGTGGCCTCCCACAGCTGTGGTTTAAGAGCACGATGGCTGCGAACACCAATTTCACCGTGCTTTGGCAGTGGACAGAGGGCTATGGGCTCTTTCATTGCAAAGCAGGAAAAGCAAAGGGGCTTTTCCATGCTATTTTACACTTTTCTGCTGGGAAATTGCAAGGAAACGTAGGGAGTGATTTCCTAGCTTCTTTTTGTTATTCATGGAAAGGGCAAGGGCTGTGCCGCAGGGCACATCCAGGTGGACTCACCGGTCCCAAGGGGAGGCAGAACAGGATCTTCCCCCTCCGCCCCATCCCTGCTGCTCTGCTGGGAACTTCTCAGTCCCAGACCCACGCCAGGCTTCGCTCCCCCCATGCCGAGACCCTACCTGGCTCCTGCTGGGACACGATGCACAGGGGCAGCTGGGGGCTGCCCGGCTCCGACCCGGCCCCAGCAGTGTCACGCAGCCGTCACACGAAGGCTTCGCGGTGCCACACGGGAGCTACGGCCTCTCTTCTTCCCCAAGGACACCGATGTTTTTCGGCGGACGCGTGGGGCTGGCAGTGCCACTGGGGACACCGGCCCTAGTGGTACCGCCCGCAGCGCCCGTCCCCTCCGCCACCGGGGTGCCGTGGGGGTGCCGGGTGCCTCTGTGATGCTCCCACTCGCCCACGGGGCGTTGCTGTCCACGATGAGCCGCAGGAGGCCTGCCCCGGGGAAGTCCATGATGACCACCCCCCAGCGCACCGCCTGCCCCGAGCGGCGCCGCAGGTGCCGGTAGCAGCGGGGGTTGACGAAGCGAGCCACCTCCTCGGGGCAGGTGAAGAGCCCGTTGCCGGAGCAGAAGGTGAGGTGCATCTTGGCGGGGTCCCCGCCGGCTGCCGCCTCCAGGTGCCGCCGCGCTCGGGCCCATTTCCTCTCCAGCGAGAGCACGTTCCAGGCATCGCTGATGCTCAGCTGCTCGTAGGGGATGCCCAGCACCGCCTGCTCCAGCGCCTCCAGCACCACGATCTTGCCCCGCGCCTGGCCCAGCGTGGGCACCTCCTCGCGGCACCACAGGCGGCCCCGTCCCTCCTCCAGCAAGCAGCGCTGGAGCCGGGCGGCGAAGCCGGGCCGGGAGAAGAAGGGCAGCTCCTCCTTGATGCGCATGAGCACGGCCTCGCCGGGGTGGGCGCGGAGGAAGCGCAGGGTGCGGCGCAGGACGCCCCGCAGGCTGGCCCACTGGAAGGTGCAGAGGTGGTAGACGCGGAGCTCACCCTGCTCCAGCTTGCAGCGCACGTCCAAGAAGCGCACGCCGGCCGCCAGCTGCGCCTCCAGGCCCCAGCTCTGGCACCGCAGGCGCCGGCCGCCGAACAGGCTGAGGGAGTCGTGGGTGCCAGGGATGGAGAGGCGGGAGAGGGGCAGGGCGTCGGGCAGCCCCGCCATCCAGTCGGGGCAGCAGGCAGCCGGCTGGGGTGTGCAGTCGAACGCATCCATGCCGCGGGGAGCACGGGCGCCCCGGCACCAGGCCGGCAGCCACCGAGAGCTGCCTGGAGGAGAAGTGGCACCATGACCCAGGGTGACAGCACCTGCATGGCCCCCATTGCTGTCCATACCCCAGAGCCACCCCCCACGTGCCCTGCACCCCACACAGCTACCCCTGATGCACCCACAGCTCCCCAGCCCCGGTGTATTTCGGCCTCCCCCCCTGCACCCACCTGGGTTTGCCGGTGGCAGCGGGTGCAGCGTGCTGGACGGGGCACACAGCCCGGGGGGCAGGCAGCGAGTGGCAGGCTGAGCGGGATGCTGGCCATTAACCAGGAGACACTCATGACGCGCGTCATGTCCCGCACGTGGCACGTGCTGCGGGGATTCAGGCTCAGGCCTCGCTGAGGAGCGCGCTCAGCTGACGCACAGGGCTGGAAAATTGCTGGGCTGATCCCGAAAACGGGCATTGGGGCCTCGGCACCTCCCTCCCCAGGAATCAGGACAAACGGGATCCGGCACCCCGGGGTTCCTTGGAGCTGCCTGTGCCCGGAAAGGCACGGCGGGTCGGGGCTGTGTCACCGCTGAGCTGTGAGCCCCGTGGCCAGTCCTCAGCCAGCCCCCCGGGGCTTGACTCATCTCCTGCCCTGGGGACACGGCTGCTCCTTGCCCCCCCTTGCCGCTCTGAGCTTGGCAGTGCGCACCAAACCCCACGGTTTTTGAAGGGTTTGAAGCCTGGCGGGTCACCGACCCCTCCGAGCACCCTTCCCGTGCCCACACCTCACAGCGGGGGGGCACGGAGACCCCAAGAGCTGGGGCCAGCCTCGGGGACACTTCCATGCCAAGCATGACATGAACATGACAGAGCCAGCGCTCTGCAGGCCGGGATCCCGGCAGCACAGCGGGGAGGAGCACTGAGCACGGCCGGGCGGGGAAAGCAGCCGGCAACACAACACAGCACGGCACGGCACGGCCTGCAGCACGGCGCTGCCCTCACTCATGGCGGCCACGGGCGGCGGTGGCAGCGGGGCCGGGTCCTGCTTCGTGCTGGGGGCCTCGGGGGCCACGGGGCAGGCGCTGCTGCGGGAGCTGCGGGCACGGGGGCTCTTCGCCAGGGTGACGCTGATCGGGCGCCGCCGCCTCAGCCTGGCCGAGGAGAGCGGCACGGCCGTGGTGCGGTGGGGCCGTGGGGTGGTGGGGGGGTGCTGGAGGTGCCCGCTCCTCGCTCTGAGCCCGGTGCTGTCCCCGCAGGAGCAGGTGGTGGTGGATTTTGAGAGGCTGAGCGAGCACGCCGCTGCTTTCCGGGGCCACGACGTGGGCTTCTGCTGCCTGGGCACCACCCGAAGCAAGGCGGGTGCGGTGAGTGGGGCACCGAGCACCCCTCCCTGCGTGGTGACTGGGGCACACTGCTGGCCATGGGGTGGTCTCCCCGGGCAGCCCTGCCCCAGGGGGTTGGGGAGCAGCAGGGAGCCCCCAGCTGCACTGAGCCTGCTGTCCTGCTGTGCCGTAGGATGGCTTCGTCCGCGTGGACCGGGACTACGTGGCGCAGGCGGCAGAGCTGGCACGGGCAGGGGGCTGCAAGCACTTCGTCACGCTGTCCTCACAGGGGGCCAACTGAGCACAGCCGCTTCCTCTACCTGCGGGTGAAGGTGAGGAGGGGAGCCGGGGCGGGCTCCTGAAGCCCGGGGGGGTGAGGAAATGCCAGGACACTTGGGAGCGAAGCCGGGGCTGAGGTCGGAGAAGACCCAAATGGCTCCAGGGTCCTGCTGCTGGGAACAGAGAGCTCAGGGGAGGGGGCTGGCAGGACAGCAGTGTCACCTGCAGCGTCCTAACCAGCAAATACCCTGCACACAGCATCCCAAGAACCTCTGAGAGCCACCAGAAAGGTCTGGGCAAGACCTTTCACAGCCATCAGGAGGCTCAGGGCAGGTGCCACCGAGATCCGAACTCCCCAGGGACAGCAGCATCCATCACAAAATCCTCTCCCCCAATACGTCCCAGCCCAGACCGCTCCTGCCTGGCAGCGTCCCCTCGCTGTCCATGCCCAGGCTGGGCAGAGTCCACCCGTGTCCCCACGTCCCTCGCCCTGCCAGCCCCCTGTGTCCCCACGTCCCTGTGCCCCCCTGCCAGCCCTTGTAGTTTACATGCTGGCTGCAAGGGTGCGCTGCTGACTGCCGCTCAGCTGTCCTCACCGTTCCTTCTCCTGCAGAGCTGCCTCTGTCCAGCCCCTGGCCTTGCTTTTACCATTACTGACGTTTTTGGGGTCCCTGCTGTGGTCCCTCTGAACAGCCACCCTGCCCTCAAGTTTAGCACTTGGCATCTTGACAAAATGTTATACATTTTGGGCAGGATCGGCTCTGGCTCTTCCTTCCCTGCTTTCTGAGAAGCTCCTCTCCTCGGGGATGTTTGCAGCCCTGGGTTTGTCACCCTGGGAGAGGAGAGACCTTTGCCCACAGCCACACGTGGCCGGGTCTCCTGCCTCTTTGGGCACCCTGCGCCCTTTCTCCCGGATCCCTCCTCTCCCGAGCTATCGGGAGGGTTGCGCAGGAGGGTTACACACCTTGCACGCACACAGCAATCACCTGGCAGCTGATACTCACAGGGCACTGAGGTGCTGCAAGGCTGAGCACCGAGGGGTTCATGGGGCGGTAGGGGTGGTGCTTGTGGTCGCCCTCGGTTTGTTTCATCCCTCCTGCGACAGGGAGAAGTGGAGAAGCTGGTCCAGGCTGTTGGCTTCGATCGCTGCACCATCCTCCGGCCAGCGTGAGTAGGATGGAAGCAGCCTCTGGCTTCAGCAGGGGGAGGCACAGGGGGCTGGGAGATGGGGCCACGGGCAGGACACAGAAGGAGAGGGCTGGGGAAGGAAGCAGGGAAAGCCCCTGGTGCACACACAGCTCCTCCCTGCACCCCTTCCCCACCACAGCAGGGAGCGAGCACGGCTGTTTCCCACAGCCTTTCCCAAATTTTCGGTCATACCCCGTGACAGGAGAGGCTTGAGTTGAAAGTGGAGGTTGGGAGACACCAGGAAAAGCTTAACCTCACTCAGAGGTCAGCCTACACTGGGAGGTTGCTCTCCTTACTCCTGCTGAGTGTGCATCCCCCCATACTCCACCTGGGAGAACCAGCATCCTGGCAAGGAGTTGGGTGTCCCAGGGATCATCCCAGTCATGTTTCAGGACCCCACAGAAGCCCCTCATGCCCCGTGCAGGTTTTTAAGCCAGGCTGGGTCCCTCAGCACAGCGGGGGACGTCATTTTCTGGCTTTGCAGCCTGACCCCGTGTCTCCTCGCCCCGCAGGGTGCTGCTGTGCACACGCCAGGAGTTTCGCCCCCTGGAGTGGCTCACCCAGCACGTTCTGGGAGCCGTGGCCTGGTTCTTCCCCACCGCCTACTCGGTGCCCGTGCAGACAGTGGCGAGGGCGATGGTGGCCAGCGTGCTGCAGCCGGGCGGGGGGAAGGTGGAGGTGCTGGAGAACAAGGCCATCCATCAGCTGGGAAAGGCAGAGCCGCAGCTGGGCACGTAGGGTGAAGAGGGTGGGCAAGAAGTGCTGGGCTCACCTTCCAGGTGCTATTCCGGGCCAAGGATGAGCGCATGGGAGAGCGGTGGGGCATTTGGATGGGTGTCGGGGAGCCGGAGGTGTGCTCCTGCAGGAGGCAGCCCGTTCTGCCAAATGCTGCTGGGAGAGGAGAAATGGTGCTCTGCTTCCTGCACCCGGAGCGCAAAGCTGGGTGAGAGCTGTACCCCTCACACACTGCTCTGAACTGAGGCCTCGAATAAAATCCTGTGCCCGCTCTGTCCGTGCCAACCCCGTGTTGAAATTACACCTGTGCATTGCCAGCCCCTTGTGGTGACACCGCCGGGAATGCAGGCGGGCAGGAGCACAGGGGGAAGGAGCCGGGGCCATGGGGGCTGCCCAGGGCCCCCCTGCCTCGCGGGGGGCTGCGCCGTGCCCCAGCTCCGTTCTCAGGCCTCCCACAGGGTCAAGGACCGCGGTGGCTCCGCAGCTGGGACGGGGCCTTACGTGACTCCCGCGTTCCCTGCTGGCCACGGTCCCAGCGCCCGGGGCAGCGCAGCTTTCCAGGGTTTTCTCCTCTTCGACCTCCCCGTGGCTCCTGTGTCAGTGACTTGGATGGGGAGAGCGGGAGGGAGCCTGGGTCCCTGTGGTCTCCGTCCTCCCGCACAAATAATAGGCTCGGCGGGCTGGTACCTCGGGGGCACGGCAGGGGGAAGGGGAGGGGTGCGGGGGCTGCAGCACACCAACGCCTGGCTTAGCTCGTGGTGTAACACATGCAAGGCCACTGAGCAATAATTCCTGGTCAGACCGGCCTTGTGAGAGCAAGAGGGACACCTGGAGGGTCGCACTTCATTTACAAAGGGAGACGTGAGGTGGGCTGGCCAGGATTATCACACAAGCCTCTGAGGGGTGTTCAGGAGGGTTACGCTGCTTAAACATGCAGGGTGGTTGCACTGCCTTAACCACACGCCAGTGCTCAGAGGTTTTAGGAACAGATGCTGTGCTTAAACAGGCAGGTATAAATGAACACTGGAGGTGACAAGACCTTCAAAGAAGTGAAGACTGCAAACAGATGAGAGTAAAAATAAAGAATACAAGCTCTGGAAAGTTACAAGTAAAAGACGGGCCCCAGGAGGTTTGAGAAAGGGATCGTGAAGGTATAAAAATTAATCATGGCTGTGTGAGAAGCAAAAAAACTCTGCAGAGAGCCCCGGGGGACAGGACACGATCAGGTTATATGAAGGAGCCATCACAGGAGAGCTTAATCAGTTACTTGTATCAGCCTTTGTAGCGACAGGCTCACGCTCGCATCATTCCTTTGGGGAGCGTGTTTGCATGGCTGTCCTAAAGCACTGGGGAAAAATGATTTTTAACTACATTTTTAGAGCACATAGTTAAAAAAAGAAAAACGCTAGTGCCAGAAGGAGCTCTCAGCTGAACTGGAAAACACTGAATTGGGTGAGAACGAGAGTGCTCCTGCCATTAAAAAGTCAATGTAGTTAACTGGGATGCTAATTTTCAAAAAGTTCCAGTGGGAACCAGGAAGCTGCAAAGCAGTAAGATGGCCTCTATAAAAGGCAACTTGTTAGAAAGGATAATAAAGTCTTGAAATAACAGAAACCAGGATAAATATGGTGCAATGGGAGATTCCGCTTGTCTTTTGAGGGGGCAGTTAGGAAGCACAAACCTTTGCTGCTTTTGGAGGAAATCGGCTGCTGTGTACATAAGGCGGTCTGGTCCTCAGGGTGCACTTGGGTTTCCACAAAGCTCTCCCAAAAGGGCTCTTAAAGAAATTAAGCTGTCGTGGGAAGAAAAGCAAGGTCTGTGCATTTCTGATTGGAAATATTTTCTTAGCACTATAAAGCCTTGAAACGGACAAAACAAACATTTATTCCTAGACAAAGGTCTGCAGAAAACGCCAGCGCTATTTCTGTGCAACCCTCGGTTTTGCTCGGCGCATCGGCACCGTGCAGCATCTCCCCAGCCCCTCCTGGAGCCCCTCCTGGCCCAGCCGGGACTGAAGGAGCAGAGATGGGTCCTCAGGGGCACCCCTCGGTGCTCAGACCCCCCCAAAACAGCCAGGGCAGAGCCCCCGCACCCCTGCGAGCAGGAGGTGGGCACGGTGGGAGCCGTGCTCCGGGCTGCAGCTGGAAGGAGAGCACGCAAGGTTGCTCGGTGTCTGCTGGACGACATCCACGCGGACCGCCTGATCCCACAGATCCCGGCTCCCCTGGGATTTCTGACGCTGGCTGTATTGCTGGAGATAAATGAGGAAAAAACAACCCCCGTCCCCATGGCTCCGCAGCCGGGCGCAAGGCTTCCCGTGCGGCTCTCATGGCCCCGATGCCCTCCTGGCTGAGGAGCTGTGAGAACCGCTGTGCCCGTGCCTGCCACGCTCCCCCCAGCCCCAGCCGGGTGGCAATGTCACCTGCAGGCGAGTGGCACAGCACAGCACACCCCGCAGGGCTCAAATCCCACAGCCCAGCTGCTGGCAAAGGGACCCCGGGCTGTCCCCAGACAGATGACCCTGCCAGCATCAGATGAAACAGGCCCAAAATCCGCCCCAGGGACGGGCAGGAACAGCTCTGGCACTGCTCAGGGGAGGAAAGCGTGTGCCAGGATGAGCCTAAATGCAGCCCTGGGGCATGGGGCAGCTCAGGGCCAGCCAAGGCGCTGGTGCCCTGGGGCCCAGAGCAGGGGGTGGGCATCTGGGGGCTGTAGGAAGCTGGTTAGTGGCCCAGCCACAAAGGCCTTGCTGACTGGGGGTTGAAATTACCTGGTGGCAGGTCCCTGCTCTCAGCACAATCACTCCTAGCCAAGGCACCTGCAGCAAATATTAGGGCAGCTTTAGAGCCAGGGATTTTGTTGCCAGAGCCCTTGGAGCCAGGATTTGCCCCTCGTCTCGCAGCCTTGCCCCCCGGAGCTGCCCCTACGCCGTGCTGGCTGAGGCTGGGAGGAACTCGTGCCACGGATGCCCTGGCCACAGGCAGGCATTGGCTCCGTGGTTTCCAGTTTTGGGGGAGGAACCAAAAGGAACTTACCTGACCCAAGAGAAAAGCTGTCACGCTGCACAGGACGAGCTCAGGTCCCTGCTCAGGCACCGCTCCCCCCTCCGCAGGCAGCTGGGGGCTCGGGCGCTTCACTGGTATGGAAGAAGATGGGAGAACCTGCTGAGTTACCAAAATCACCAAATTCTGGGCAGGAATGGGTTTCCGCCTTATCAAAGCATCGCTGTCAGATGAAGCTGAAAGATTTGTTATCATTAAAAGATTATTTTTTTTTAAGCTTACACGGAAACAAATTGGTTTCAGAGCAAACCTGTAACCCACCAACCAACACTCGCACTGCCGAAAGCGCGGAGGTTTGGGCATTACCCACAGCCCTTACATCAACAGCAAGATCTTCTCCTAAGCACGTAGACCTTCATGAAAACATTCTTCACCGAGGAAAATAAAGCTTGCTTCAACCCCACATTTCCACCCCCCCCCTTTCCAAGGAGCCTGACGCACCACCGAGAGGAAACCTCGCGGCTTCCTTGGAGCTCCCCAAAGCGCAGCTCGGCCCTCGCGCTGCCGTCACCCGGCCTCACCCCGGGCACACACATTTCCCCCCGCAAGCCGCCCGAGGAGAAAACAAGAGCCCGAGGCGGCCGGGGCCAGCTGCGGCGGGACGGCGCTGGGGGGGCTGGCGGGGGTCCAGCTGCCGATGCTATAAAGCCGGCGGCGGGGGAGCCGGGCCGCAGAGCGAGCCGCAGCCGTCCCCGTCCCGCACCCTTTTTCTCGCAGCCCAGGGAAGCCGCAGCGTGCCAAGATGTGCAAAGGGCTGGCCGCGCTGCCCCACACCTGCCTGGAGAGGTGAGACGGCTGCGAGGGACGGCTGGGATGGGATGGGGCTGCTCGGGGGGATGCCGAGGGTGGCTTGGAGCTGGTGATGCCGTCATCCCGAACTCTCCCCTCTGGTTTGGAGACCCCCCCACACCTGCACTGCTTCATCTCGTGTTTGCAGCCTGCAGCGGGGGAAAGGCAGGGCAGCAGCTGCCTCCCTGCAGCAAGCACAGCCCTGGCTCTGAAGTGCCTCGAAACCCTCTGTCGCTGCCTGCGTTGCCCTCGGCAGCCGTGTCGGTGGCTCTGGAGCAGGAGGAAAGGATCCTCAGGGGGCTCCGGGGGCTCTCTGGGGGCAGCTGGGGCACCCCCCAGGCAGTGGGGGCTCTGCCGGAGGAGGAAGGTTGGTGAAACCTTTGAACACGGGGATTTCTTGGCACTGCAGAGATGCTTAGTGCTGGCTTTTAGATGGGAGCCAGGTCTCTGGAGACCCCCTGTTCACGGACAAACCCTCTGCCACGGGAGCCTGTTGCTGCCTTTCAGCCATCAAGGCACGAGGGGTAACACGGGACCCTTGGCCAACCTGACCGGGGGGCGCAGGCACCATATGGGCACGGGCAGCTCAGGACCACCTCCCCCTGCCCTCACAGAGCCCTCCGAGCCTTACACCCACCCTGTGCAGGACACAGCTCACCCCCTTGGCCCACCCTCAGCGGGGAGCAGGCCCCGCGTGCCCCCACACCCTCCTACCTTCACACCGCCCTCCACGAGGCCACCTCTCCTCCCGCAGCCTCCGGGGGTCTCGCCGAGGGTCTGCCTTGCCCTGTGCCCCCCCCAGAGCACATGTTGTGCGGAGGGGGCCGCCGGGAGCCTGCTGCTGCCTCCTCGCCAGCAGTCCATATTTGTCCATGCGCCGCCGGCTGCTGACACGCTCCTGCAGCCATCGGCCGTGCTGCTCGGCAGCTCCCCGGGGCTTTTCCCCCCTCCCGAGGGACGTCACATCCCAGGGAAGCTTTCATGGGGACGTTACACGCCAGCATCTTCCCATGAAGTCTCCTGGGGGGCCACCGTGGGGCAGGGGGACCTGCGCTCGCTCCCAGCCCCTCCTGCGACGTCGGGGTTTGAGGCAGACCCCGTGCGAAGGAAGGTTTCCCCGTGCAAACAGCCCCGGAGGTTTTCCTGCCTGCGTTCAAACTAAGAGCTGCAGTTCTTCAGCTGTAACCTCTTCGAGCTCCTTTGTTTTGTTTTCTAAGGTCGAGCCTCTCCTGGCTAGCATCTCGGCCCTGCTATGTTTGACAGAGCCCATATTTTCTCTTAATGTCTTTTGGAAGCTGTTTCTCAGACTTTTTCTTGGCTTGCTCCCATTTGTTTTCACACTTAACCTTGCATGCTTTGTGGCCGCCTCGATTCTTCTCACGTGGACGCGGCTCTGGGATTTGGGGAGAACTCCTGTTTGTTTATAGCTGCCTTTTTTTACCCTGCTGTTTAGCCTTCCCCAAAACTTACAGGACATCTGCTTGAGGACTCCAGGATGGTGTCTTTAAATAGTCCTGCCCTCCTGTGAGCACTCAGCCCTTTTGGCTGTCCTTTCTTGCCTCCCTTTGAGGAGCTTCCTTGCTTCTGGACCTTCCCCACTGAGCCCAGGATGTATTTGGGGTGGGGAGGTTCCTGCTCCTGCCCCACATCAGCAGGGACCTGCGGGGTGCAGCCACTGCTGGGTCATCAATAGCCCAGGCACAAAGCAGGGTCAGGGCTGCCCAGGGACAGGACACAGCTCCCAGGTCCACCAGGCCAGGCTGGGAATAAGCCCCCCAGGACACAACCTGGGAAAAAGATTGCCTCTGGGGCTGTGCTTAAATGGAGCCCCATGTGGGGCTCAGCTGGGGCTGCTCAGGGCCAGCCAGGCTCGTTAGCACCCCGAGATCCCAACAGATGTTGGTCATAAGTGGCTGGCACAGGGCAGGAATTTGATGGCAAGATTTTGATCCGTTTTGTGCCTCTGGAGAAGCACCCGTGGCTGTGCGAAGTCACCCTTGGGTACATCCATACCTTGAGCATGGGTTGGTGTCACCACATCCTGCTCCGCGGGGACAAACTGCTGGTCCTGTTCTCCCCTTCGTGACAGCAGTGCCCACCGCTTAGCCAGAGGCCACATCCCATTCATTTATTTATTAGAGAGACCGGGATGAGCCGTGCACGGCAGCATCCCTGCAGCAGGGGCACCTCGGTGCGGGGAACGTGGGGACCCCATCACCCTTCACCCGGGGTCCTGCTCCTTCCAGGCAAGATCTGAGCTTTCTTGGAAGCACGAGGAACGGAAGCTGTCCCCGCAGCCGCTGACTTTTTCTGAGAAAACAGTCGGGTTCCTGGGCTCCGTGCGAGGGTGGCTGTCGGAGGCAGGTGGCTGCAGCCGAGGCAGGAGCAGAGCCCGTGCCAGGTCCCCAGCGTTCACCCACGGAGCCTGGCGGGCAAAACACTGAGAGAGTTGTGCAGGCAGGGAAAAATAAATGAATAAGAGGAATGGCAGTGAAATAGCAGACATAGCAAGGGAACAATCTTACACAGAGGGCATGTGAAAATAAACAGCCCAGAGAAGCGCGGCGAGCCCTGAGCTGGGGAGCTGCAGCGTGGCCTCCGTCAGTGCGTCGTGCTGCGGCTGCAGAGCAGCACCCGGGGGCTCTGGGTCGACAGAACCCTCCCCACCAAAGGTGCAAGAGAAAAAAAAATGTTATAGTCCTTACAAACATTCCTAGAAAGGAGGGAGCCCCAAGGAATGAGTGCTTGGGAGGGTTGGGGCTGGCAGGGATGAGGCAGGGAGCGCTGCCCCGCGTTTTGGTGGGCGCAGAGGTTGGTGCTGGAGGGTGGGCGCAGCACCGGGGGGCACCAGGCAGGCTGCTCGCTCGTTTTGTCTGGGCTGAGCACTGCAGAAGCTGCGCAGACACCCCCTCAATCATCTGCACAGCAGCCAGCTCGGGTGATGCGATTATCCTGGCCGCAGATGGGGACAAAGCGCTGAGCTCAAGCTCAAGAGCTGCCGCTAATTCCGAGCGCCTGGCTCGAAACGCCTCGGACAGGCTCCTTTACAGCATTAGCGCCCATTTGTCGGGGTGTAATTAATTACACGGCGCTGTGCCTGGCACAGCCTCGTGTTGTGGTCCTGCTGTGCTGCCCCGGTGTCTGCGTGTCCCCCTGCCCATCCCCACGCCTGATCCTGCCTCCGCTCACCCCCCGCAGGGCCAAGGAGATCAAGACCAAGCTAGGAACACTCCTCCAGAAGCCTGACTCGGCCATCGACTTCATCATCCCCTACCCCGAGAAGCCGGAGAAGCCAGCCAAGGCCCAGAAGTGAGTGGGGGCTCGGCGCCGTGCAGCCCGAGACGTGCCGGGCCACGTGAAAACCAGGTTTCTGATGGAAACTCGATTTGTGTTTGATGAGATTTCACGTTCATCTGATAGCGGTTTTGCCGGAGGCGTGAGGCACTCGGATTTCTCTGAGTCATCCGCCGCAGCACAGAGGTGCCAGCGAGGCGGGGAGGGTGGCTCTGGGGCCGCGGCGTGTCCCCGAGCTGGGGCACGGCCCCGGGGCATGCTGAGGCTGCTCCCACCTTGCTGCTCGCACCCCGAGCCCCTGCTCTCCAGCATCCCACGGCTATAACACCGCAAAGCTGGAGAGGCTGATGGTTGGTCCTGCAGGGTTAGCAGTTTGAGGGATGGAGAAGTGTGTCGGGAGGCAAAACAAGCCTTTAAAAAAAAATAGCTTAAATCTAAAAGCAGAACAGTATCCTGCACGTAGGCAACAGCCTCACCCAGGTACCCCCGGCCCAGCCTCCCCACGAGCCTGGGCACCTGAGCCACTGCCCCAGCAGCTCTTACACCATGCCTCCGCCCCGACTCGCTGTCACCCCATCCTCGTTGTCCCTAAACAGAGCATCAGAGCTGCCGGTGACCCACCACCCCAGTTCTGCAGCCTCCAAACCCCTTCCCTCCATCCCTCCCTCCCTGTTTTTAAGGGAATGAGGGGCCCACTGCATGGTGAGCCCCTCTACCTGGGCTTTCTTTACCCCCTCCAGGCCATCCCCGGAGGAGGCTCTGCAGTGGCGTGACTCCCTGGAGAAGCTCCTGCAAAACCCCTGTAAGTCTCCCCCCTCCCGTGGCCACATCCCCCCACACCCGGGGTCCCCCCGGGGGCTCAGCGGGGTATCGGGACCCCCCCGGTGCTCAGCGGTGCCCGGACCCCGCAGACGGGCTCGCCAGCTTCCGCAGCTTCCTGCGCTCCGAGTTCAGCGAGGAGAACGCCGAGTTCTGGGTGGCCTGCGAGGACTACAAGAGGACCAAGTCCCCCGTGAAGATGGCAGAGAAAGCTAAGAGGATCTACGAGGAGTTCATCCAGACCGAGGCGCCCAAAGAGGTCGGTGGCCGTGCGCCAGGGAATGGTGCTGGTGGGGATGAGGGGTTTTGGGGATGATGCTGTCCCAGAGGAGAGGGATGGCTGCAGGGCACGCTGTGCCACGGCCAAGGGCTTGGAGATGCCGCGGCCCACCCCTCACACAGGTGGGGCCCCCGTCCCTGTCATGCTCCCCTCACAGGTGAACATCGACCACTTCACCAAGGCCATGACCATGAAGAACCTGGTGGAGCCATCGCCGAGCAGCTTCGACATGGCCCAGAAGAGGATCTTTGCCCTGATGGAGAAAGACTCCCTGCCCAGATTCGTGCGGTCGGAGTTTTATCAGGAGCTCATCAAGTAGCAACGCGGCCTGGCTGTGCGAGGCGCTCCCTGCGGGCGGCCCTACTGCTTCTGGCTCAGCACCTTCTCCTCCCGCAGCCGCTTTGCTTTCCTGACGCCACCCTGCAGGAGCACCCAGGAGTGTTGCTAAACACCTGCCCCAGTGCTTTGGACGCTCGGGAGGCCCGATATCTCCCACAGCCTCCATCCTCCCCTGCAGAAGAGCAGCTAGAAGGAGCCCCCGGGGCTGCTCAGCAGGGCAGAGGTGGCCGTGTGCAAGGCAGCCCGTCTGCTCCCCGCTGGAGGCAGTGCAGAGGATGAAGCACGATCGACTCGTTCAGAACACCGGGACTGTTTAGCAACGCAGCCCTCCTGCCCGCTTGCCTTCCGTACTGAGCTCGTAGTCCCCAGCTGTGCTCCCGGTGCCCGGAGCCACGCCACCGTGGTGGCCGGCGCCGTGCTCGGGTGGCACTTTTGGAGATGTTGCTGTAGCTGCTTCCCGCTCCGGTAGCTTCTCTCCGCAGTAGGCACGCCAAAGCCATCCTTCTGCACAAACCCAAACCAGGGGCGCCGGTGAGAGGGGAGAAAGTCATGCTGGGGGAGAAGAAAGCTGCTGAGCGACACTGGTCAGAGCCAATTCCAGGGGAAAAAAAAAAAAAAAAAAAAAAGGAAAAAAAGCAAACAGCAAAGCCAAAGCCAAAAATGTCATTGGAAATATATAAAAAAATAAAGCCCTGTCTTCTTGAACAGACGGCAAACTCTGCTGAGTTTGTGTAGCCTGCTTCTCTCTTGTCTCCCCCTCTCTGCCCAGGGCAGGTGTTTCCATACGGCAGTCTCGTGAAAAGACCACATCTTTTCAAGCTATCCAAATGCAGCCCGCTCTGCGCTACAACAACAAATGCCATCTGATGATGGGGCAAAGGCAAGTGCAAAAGGCCACCGAGGCCTCACTCGTCCCCAAACGGGCAAGTTCTCTGACCAGATGTGCTGAGCCCTGTTCCTGGGGCCTGGAGGCCTCATCCCCACAATGGTTTCTTGCTGCAGCATCTGAGTGTGAGAAGCACACAGCCAGGGATCGGCCACAAATGAGCGGTCATGCTCCTTGCTAGCGGCTTGGACCAGGCCCAGACCTCTAAACTTCACCACGAGGCTCCACGCAGCCTCTTCGAGGCTTTCAGAATCGGCTCAAATCCCCACCAGCCCCAAATATTTGCACGCGGTCACTGCAGTGAGGAATGAAAACACCGCAGGATGGGGGCTGCGTTTCCCAGGCAGGGATGGGGAGGCAAGGGAGAGATGAAGGCGACCACAAGCGTGCTCACGGCGGTGGCTTCTTTCTGCTGTCAAGTGCCCTGGCGGGGAAGTCGGAGCGGAGCAGCAGGGCAGGAGGCTGGAGGGCACCTCCTGGGGGCAGCTTCAGCTTCAGCTGCCCCCCGGAGGTGTGGGATCGCCCCAGAAGGGTGTGTGGAGAGCAGGAGCAGGGCAGGAGGGCTCAGGCAGCCCTGGTCACGCAGGGCATCCCCACCGCCACCTGAACGTCTCCAGGACGTGGTGCCATGACAATTGGGTTCGGCACGCTTACTCTGCCTGCTCACGGTGCTGCTCACAGCAACGCGGGACCGAGCAGGCTTCCCTGCAGACAGACCCAGACCTTTCATTTTCATTGACGCTTTGGCAGCTATTTCCGGATGCCCTCGCACGTTTCGCAGTCGAACACCGACGCTGTCGAGATTTGGATTCTGCTGGATGAAAACCTGGGATGTCACCGGCTGCAGCAGCTCCAGGCGGGGCAGGGAGGTGGCACCAGGTACGTACGTGCCGAAAAGAAAGCCGGAGGCCAGAGAGGTGAAACTGCTCCGCTGGGAATCCCACCCCAGCTTGACTTCTACTTGAAACCATCGGAAACCTGCTTTAGGGGTGATTTAACAGGTGCAGGAAGTGACTGGGTGGCCACGAAACGTGCCCCCCAGAGTGTTGTGGAGCTCTTGTGAAGTTGTGTTTGTGTAGAAGGGTCGTTTGGCTAACTGCTGGGCACGCTCGCTCGGAAATGTAGCAATGCCTGTACCGCACAGCCGAGCTTTCTGCAGGCCCAGAAGCGTTTAGGTGGGCTAATACCAACCATCATATCTCTGGTAGCAAATACTTCATGTATTTTGTCACTCTTGCTCTTACCAAGTTTGGCATGTATACGAGCACGATGCACATGACACGATACATCCATACCGTTGCAGACATACATAAGTATACACACACACACACGTATTTGTGTACTCTTAACATTGGCAGCCAGCTCCCCAGTGAATCAGTGAGCCCAGATGCAGAGTTTTTGCATGCAGCGCTTGGGATCTGAGGGATGAGTGTGAGAGGATTTAGCACGGCCCCCGGCACCACCAAGGGAAGCCTTGGCCATCCACCCCGGTGCCAACAGAGGCACGTCCTCCCAGACACCCTCAGAAGTCACCCCGTGCTCTCAGGCCACCAGCAGCCCTGTCACTGGCACACCGAGCAGGCCTTGCACTCTCCGAGGCACGTGGGGTGCCCGGGGACCCCCCTCTGCTGTGGGGCAAGACAACCCCACACTGCAGCCCGGGGCTGCTCAGGTTAATGCCAGGGCACTGCTTGCTGCGTGCGCCCTGGCTAATTTGGCAACTGGGCCCACGGGGGGCTGGGGGTGTCCCAGGGCTCGTCCCAGCCCCTGGTCACGGGCTTGGGCTCCCTGGCTGGAGCGTGCCGAGTGCCCCATCCAAAGATGGGACCAAGGTGGGAACAGATCGGCTCCTTACACATCCAAGCAGCTGTCTCAGGGTGATGGTCTCTGTGGGATTCCCACCAGAGAGGTCTCCTGAGCGGTGATGCCGGGTGCTGGTGGGCACTGAGGAACTGGTTGTGTTACCCCACATTCTTGTACCACTCAGTAATCCACATATAAACATGTATTTCTGCTACCGTCTCCATGGACTATTTTTTTTTCTCTTTGCACCAAAGGGGCAGCACGTCCTTATTTTCCACTCCCAAAAGTTGTTCCCAAAAGCCCTGGCAAGCAGCAAAGGCCTCTGAGAGCTTTGGCTGCAGCAGATGTGGCAGTTTCCCAAGAAACTGGAAAAAGGAATAAAAATATCGCCCCAGGAGACTGGCCTGGAGGAAACCCCCCGATGCCTGCACGGCCCGGGCAGCCTGCTCACCCTCAGCCACGTCACCTTCAGGCAGCAGCTCTGCACTTGTAGGATTTGCGCCCAAGGCTAGGTCAAGCCCTGAGCTGAAATGTTTTTTCCTCTGGAGCTGTGATAGGGAAAACATTTGTCTGAGGGGCAGCTGGGCCTGCTGCAGGCAGCGGGTGCACCTGGGGAAACGGAGAGGCTCTCCCCAGCTGCGGTCACTCACGCAGGACACTGGGGGTTTGCAGCAAGGAGGTGCTCCTTGGGGTTCCCCCTTCCACAGCTGGCTTTGGGGTGGCCCCGTGCCCACCCCAGCCCCTTGGTGAAGATGGTTGCTCCCCGCCAGGCACAGTACTGGACCCCGAAAAGACCAGGATCCCCACAGCCCCAGGCTCGCAGGGCTGAGGGGTGTGTTCCTCTGCAGAAGAGCACAGCTGGGGGGTATAATGGCTATTTCACCATCCCATGATTTAAAACAATCTGAGTGAAAGCAGTTACAAAAGACTAATTTTAGAGGAACCTTAGTCAATGAATTGCATCACCACACAGTCCTTGGTTCACACAATGGCACTTTAGAAGAGACTAATGCAAACGTTTTTTATTTAGAATGTATTCATCATTATTTAAATATCAATACATCTTGGCAAGAGTTATCAAGAGTTCCCAGTACCAGGGGAAAATAAAACATAGCCACATGCTCAGCTATGTTCAGAGTTTTAGCAAGCCTCTCCATCTTGCAGCTGAACATGCAGGGTGGTATGTGTCAGCACACTAATAAATACAAAATAAAGCAAATGTTAGAAGAGACGCTTCTTTGAGGACCTCAGAGCACCTACTGGAGAACCACAGCCCTCCCCTGCCGTACCAAAACCCCAGTGTGGGAACAGATCTCTAGACTGGGATGCAGGGTAAGGAACACACGGCTGTCAGAGAAGCAATTTCCAGCTAGAGAAAGGCCAAGGGGAGAGCACGATCGCCAACCCAGGAGCAGTAATGAGGCCAGCATATTCCTCCTACCACCTTCAGGACAAAGTGAGTAATGCAATTACTCAATCACAAACTCAAATACATAACATTTTATTTATTTATTTTTTCTGAAATACTCCCAAGCAGGGCCTTTCCTCCTCAGCTGTTGTGGTAGTGGTCCTATCCCATCACAAACTGCTTCATACAAGTCGGGGCAGGCAAACCTGAACTCAGATGGCACTCCCAGCTGGTAATATACAAGTGTCAGTCTGGGAGAAGGAACCTATTCCCGTTCTGCTCAGCTACGGTGTCAGGATGGTGTTCTTAGTCTGGGAGCACAACGGATATAAATATGCTTGAAATAATGAACTGCCTGTAAGATAATAGCTCTGTACAGCCCTAGAAAAGATCCTTGGCCAGCTGCAACTAGGTGCTACAGGGAGAAAAGCGGCTGAGGGCAGAGCTTTCATGCAGTTTGGGCTGTAATGACCACAGCAGGCTGTTTGCTAGTCTGAAAAGTTCTGGTCTCCAAGAAAGAGTAGGAGCTTCTCGCACGTCTGATCGCTGTAAAGCAGCACAGCCCGAGCTCTGAGCAGATACTACTGAAAGCCGAAATATCCGGGAGCTATATGAACAGCTAAGGACCAGACCAAGTCTTTTTCACTGAAGCTGCTGCTGGTTAGAAAGGGGAGATCTCAGTCCCTGCCACTTCCCTTGGCTTCCCCTGCCCCTTGCTAGGTGTCGCACTGCAGCCCGGCAGGACTGGTCCCTTTGTGGTCAGTGCTGGGCTCAAAAGTGTCTGCCCCTTCCTCCTTCCCTTCCCTACTGCTCCCGCCCTGCCTGGCTTGGTGCTCGTCAGACACCGCGGGCACGCGATGATTTCACCCAGCTTTCACGTCAGACCCCAGGGCTCCTACGCAGGTGGAGTCAGAGGAGGGTTTGCTACACAAACTGAGCCTGGCTTGGGTTACAAATGCTGGCTGTTGCATGACATGGGACACAACTGGGACATTAGACAGCTACTGAAGACAGCTCTGTTGCTTCATGCCAATGAATGCTTTTGCTGCCAAGTATTTCCTTGCCTGCCCAGCCTGCTCCTGGCCTTGCTGCAGGTTCAGGCGCACTGAGAGATGATGTTGGAGTTGCAGTCTAAGGAGTGAGCGTGGGTTCTTTGGCAGCTTTCAGGCCCGCAGCCAGCACCAGGTGGGCTGACCAAGTCCAGGTAGTAGGGGGACTTGAGGAACCGGCGGTACGAATCCTTCTCCATGAGGGTGAATATTTTTCTCTGAGCCTCATCAAAACAGGAAAGCGTAGGCTCCAGCATATTGTGGCTCGTTTTCTCCCTTGTGCATGAATCCAGGTTCACCTGTGTGGGCCAAAGGGACAGCATAAATGGAACCTGTCCCAGAAATTGTTAGAAATTATAAGGGAAAATCCAAGTGCCTCCCAACTCCACTGAATGTGCTTAATCTGTCCTTGACGGGCAGTGGTCTGAAATGACTGTCTGACAGACACTCTGCAGCCTTCACAGAATCTGTGCAGCTGGATACCAACGCATCTCTGCTGCCAGACGAGCTGTCAGTGCAGACTGACACATGTTCCTCTGGGGTGCAGCCAGACAGAAAACTCAAGCAATTTTGTGGGAGCAGCTGGAACACTGGCAATCACAGTCCTCCTGGGCTTCTCCCATTCGAGTGTGCATGTGGGGTGGCCACGTCATCAAACACACTTCCTCTCTATCCAAGTTAAACATTAAAGCAATAAAAATGACACCGTTTACTTGCTAAGCAGCACCCTTCAACTCTCATGACACTACCAAACTTCTACTTCCCTGTGCTTCCGGCCTGTTTTGGGATTTAGGGTGACACCTATGCCCAAGAGATGTTCTGCGTACACACCTCTTTTGTTGCCTGCACAGAGATGAATTCGTCGTAGATCTTCCTGGCTTTGGGGCTGAGCTTGGCTGGCGACTTGGTTTTCTTGTACTCCTCACAACTGACCCAGAAATCGATGTTTTCCTCGCTGTACTCAGATTTGAGAAAAGCACGGAAGGCAGCCAGTCCTCCTACAGATCATTTAGAGGAAAAACAAAACAGGGAAGAGAGTTAGTCACACCTGTGAAACCCAGAGCCTCGGCAAACAGCAAGTCTGGATTCTCCTTTCCAGAGCTGAATGAACAAGTCCCCTGCCCCTGGCAGCTGGCAATAGCCCCTGCTTCTACAGCAATAGCTCATGCAAGCCAAAGGAGGCCCCACAAGGATGTCAGGCCCCACAGGGATGTCACACGTGGGTCCTCAGCTGCCTCCCACACCGTGACCTCCAGTGGCTCAGCCAGGACAACAGCAAGCAAGCCGTGTGTTCCCAGCGGGCCCCGAGGAGACAGTTAGCACACGCTGCAGGCTCTCGGGCCATGGGAACGGCGTGAGGGAAAGCTCAAGGGCATCGGTGTAGTCTGGGACCGACAAGAAGATAAAGTCTCCCATGGGCTCAGCTTGCAAAAAGTTTCTCCACTTTTTGGCTCTCGTTTAACCTGGTGTTAACTGCGTGCTGCAGTCTTGCCACTCCTAAAATCAGCTTGCACAGCAGGGCTAAAGCCCCTTGGATCTGAGAAACAGATCACCACCCTTCCCAAAGGAGCCACTGTGTGCGCTGCTAAAAGACAAAAGGCAAAATCCCACGCTTCCCCCAGGGACTGCAAAGCACACTGCAGGCAAAACCCTCAACATCTCCAGCAGAAGCACACGCTTTACTTACTGTCATGATGGATCAAGTTTTCCAAAGACTCTGCCCACTTTTTGACTTCCTCTTGGCTAACCCTATCAGGACACAAAGAGAGAAACACAAAGAATTATAAATCATTTAAAAACATTACCCCTTGTCCTGTCACTACACTCCCTGACAAATATTTCTTGTAGACCTCCTTTGTAGGATCTCAGATCCAACCTACAGAAATCCCAGTTTGCAATCTCCCTCACCAGCCACGGTCTGGAAGGGAATTTTCCTGTAAAAATTGTTGACTTTACGATTATTTTATGACTGGCTGCATCTGCCTGCTCAGGCATGGACCTGGGATCACATTTACAGGTCCTATCAGTGAACTCCCAAGAGCTGATTTCTTTAACCTGTCAGAGAAGCACTAGATACATGGAAGGGAAGAACCTGGGAAATATAAACCATGTTTGCACTTCCCGTGTTTGTTCCGCTCATCATATCAGCATATCCTAGGGCTGATCTATTCCAAGAGCATTTCGTGGCCTTTGGAGGCCTCCTTGCAAAGGACATCTCCTTGCAGCTCCGTGAGAGCTGTGCTAGCTGGCAGGTCTGTTTTCTGTGCCGATATTTCTGTGTGACCATTACACAAATCCAACTCAAAGAACCAGCAGTGTCTGATACTGAAATGTATCAAGCCATGCTGGGTCTTGGGATGGTCTTATTGCCCTGTGCAGGAGACTGCAGGAGCCTTTCAATGTGCACGTGCATCCTGAATCAGAAATGCTGGCAGAAAGAAACCTCTGGAAGTCTCTAGTCCCACCTTCTCCTTGGAAGGGGATATCAGTACTTGAGGACTATTGACAGGCTGGATTCAAACACAGAGGCATTTGGGAGGTAATAAAAAGCAGCAGTAGGAATGCAAATGAGTTCAGCTCAGTGCGGGAGTAAACAACACATTGCAGCCAGCCCTTGCTTAGCTGCAAGGCAGCGTCTGCTCTTACCTCTGGCTCGGAGACACTTTCTCCTTCTTGCCCTGGGAAGAGCTGTAGTCACAGGAGTCTGACTTCTGCAGCAGGACGCCCAGGCGATGCTTCATGTCTTTGGCACTGAAAGAAAC